GTCACTATAAACCACGAAATTCTTTCACCAACATAATATTCTAATAAGAGCCCCCTATTTCTAATTTTGAGAGTGCCCTGGGCGCTTATTATGTCGAATACGGTACTTGACATGTGATCAAACTTCCATGAAATCTAAAGCATTCAAATGAGCTAGGTCAGAAGATTGTACATGTTCCAAGTGTTATTGCATGGATTAGTATAGCCCTTATAACGTATATGAGCAGTGTCATGTGTTTCCCCCGACTGCTGGTGCTTGACTGGACGTGTTCACTACGTGGGTGAGCAGTGTTTTGCTTCTAATAATAAGATTATTTGACAAGGTTACCAAGAACAAAGACGTGTGTGTCAGATCAGCTTGATGAACTTGTGTAAACAAAGTGACAACACTTGACATGGAACTTTGTGAAAAGCACTGTCTTATCGAACAATCAAATACTTTGTTCATTGTTTAAAACAATGGCATATGCATTATGAACACATAGTGCCGTTTAGAAAGTGCTCAAATGTAACAAATGTTATATTTGGGACAACACTTTCTTACTAAAGTCCAGATTCTCGTACTTTTTGGGGGTTGAGTCCCGTCCGGAATTCGAACCCACACTGCCCGAGTTAGGCACAGACGACGAGATGGAGTGAGAAGTGGAGAGATTTGACCGAGTGAGGACTGTGACATTGTGGTGATGTCAGAAGTGTATGATGGTTGGGAGGGTTAGCATGTAAACATACATATGTTTGTTTGTTTGTTTGTTTGTTGCTTAACGCAGCACTCAGCAATATTCCAGCTATATGACAGCAAACATAGATTTGGAGCATAGGCATGTTAGTGTTTGCATGAGGACAATGACATCAGACTGTCAACTTCTTGATTTCACAAAATGATCTGAAAGAGGATAATTATACCAGAAGGGTGCATTATGTCCATTGTTTTGGCAGACAGTAATTCTTCGTAACGACCTCTCTTGTACACGAGCCGATGTTGGATACATTGCCCACATGGTATAAGTTGGTTAGCGCCCACCTCTGTGGGTGCTATGGAGTTCATTGAATGAGGCGTTAATATATACCGAGAAGGGAGCTAATATATACATACTATACACCTATGCTCCCAAAGGAGCCTGGTTTAGAATAGGTCCCCAGCTTTTTAGTGTGTATGAATAAGAGGCGACTAATCAGATCGCATTGTCACGATATCCTGACAGTCTGGAATGATGCTCATGATATCGACCACTGGTTTGACCTTGACTTCATTCCAACATTGCTGTGAAGTACCTGGTCCAGGGTCCGGTACGACAAACGTGCTTGAGCGCTATGACTATCGTAATCCTAAGTTAAAGTATGGGAGTCATGCTAGCGCTAAGATTGCTTTGTGGAACGGGGCCCTGGAATATTGCTGAGAGGGCATTAAGCAACCAACAAACACCTCTGTACTATACAAACATACTATTCTGTCGAGAAACTGTAATATCATGACATTTGAGTGTCAAGTGCTTGATTACAGTATCATGTGCACACTTGATAAGGATTTTCTTGCAGTGTTACAGAACTTTCAGTTGTAGATGAGATAATAGTTGATTATTGTGTCACGCAACAGACTGTAATCATTTGCACATGGTAGTATATGCATATACAAAAATACGTTATTCTGAGATACATCACTAAAAGATCAAAGACCCTGACTCTACTTCATCCTGAAATATTATTTAAGATAACTACGCCATAAATTGCAAAGAACAATGAAAAACAAAGCATGGTTTATTTCATTTTATTTATAAAACATTGTTCTATCATGATGTCATTTCTGGAGATACAAATATGCGGAGCGGTCGGGTAGCCTAGTGGTTAAAGCGTTCGCTCGTCACGCCGAAGACCCGGGTTGGATTCCCAACATGGGTACAATGTGTGAAGCCCATTTCTGGTGTCCCCCGCCGTGATATTGCTGGAATATTGCTAAAAGTGGCGTAAAACCATACTCACTTACTACAAATATGAGCTTGCAACTTGATGACGTCACATATCAGACGACATTGTTTTTGAGCGGGAAGTGTCGAGTAAGTTAATTGTTCCCCATAGATGTAACTGGGGAATGCAGATAAGCGCAATGGCTGAATGTTCGCGTCCAAAAGTGGGAGAGATATGACAATCAGTAGTAGGAGAATAGGTACAGATAATGAATGAGAGGATTGTGAGAATATGCAGGAACTATCAAAGTTAACAAACCTGTTCGTAAAATGGACTTGTCCGACATTTCCGTGGCCGGATGCTATTTGGAGAGTCATCATTATTGAAGTTTGGGTAAATATTTTTAAGGCTTGTACATTTTATCAACATCCTTAAAGAGGCTGAACATGTTGTTGATGTCTCATACAAGGTTTATTGTCCCTGCAGTGTTTTATCATACGATAAACAACTCCCAATCGCCGTTTATTTCTTAAATAAAGTACTCTTTTTGAGTGACGTCATAATGGACTGATGTCATGATGATGTTATGCCCTCTAGTATCATAATGTCAATGCATCCTCGTGCTTTTATCGTTGATAAGATAAGATAAGACAATACTTTATTATCCCAAGGGAAATTCATATTGCACATTTGATTAGCTCTAAAATATGAAGAAGAAAAAATATATGATATTAAAATATGTTCATAAGCATTGTGAGTGAGTGAGTTTGGTTTTACGCCGCTTTTAGCAATATTCCAGCAATATCACGGCGGGGGACACCAGAAATGGGCTTCACATGTTGTACCCATGTCGGGATTCGAACCCGGGTCTTCAGCGTGACGAGCGAACGCTTTAACCACTAGGCTACCCGACCGCCCTGTTCATAAGCAACAAAACTATACTTTATTACACTACACATGAGGGTAGAGCAAACTTTTTTTCTTAAACATATTTCTGTATGTGCTGAAGGAATCATGGTCACTGATTGTTCTACCACGGCGCTGACAGTGTTCGGAGACAACTAGACTCCCATCAACACAAGAGCACACTTTGAAAGCTAGCCTTTCAAATTCGCCACAGCAATATAAATTAAGGAAGAATGTTACAGTGTCTAAACTGCTGAAGTGCCAGAGAGGCGCATGCGTCTCACAATACCGTATTCGATGTAATAAGTGCCCCGCTCTAATAAGCGCCCATGGCGATATTTGCTAATATATTGGCTAGTTAACAATTCCAATCAGCACCCCTTCCGATTGATCAATGTACACAAGACTTATTTATTCATGTATAATACGCACTCGTGTATTATATGCACCCTTAATTATGGGCAATTGAATTCTGGAAAAATACATCTGTCGTAAGTCAATATTTCAGGCTGTCAGCATAAACACGAAATTTACGATCTTTCAACTCTGTTTTTTTCACCAAAATAATATTCTAATAAGAGCCCCCTCTTTCTAATTTTGAGAGCGCCCATGGTGCTTATTACGTCAAATACGCTTATCATAATAATAATACCTGTTCTGTATTGATAATAGAGGTTGTTTATTATCACATAGACTGTCTTTTACATCACAAATAGCATTAACCTGATTTAATGGGGAATTCTGTCTTTCAGCCATGGCCACACCCAAGGTTTATTGGTCTGCCATAACCATGACAATGCTGCACCTTCGACAATGTTCATAAATGATACACATCTATCGCCATGGCGACCACACACAATAATATGCCTAATTGGTATAAAGATAATTTTAGATTCATATAGATAGGAATGCATCGTAAATAGCAACATGGTTAGAATTTGCAAGGGAGGGTTATCATTAAGGAAACCCTGCCTTCATTTTCTTTTTTCATTGTTGTCATATACATGTATAAATATTAACATAAAGAAAACGAATCATTGTGTTTATGTTATTTTTGACATATGTGCTAGCCTTTTGTGTTTTCTGATTGTAATTAGTATTTGAAGGGCTATCCTAGTGGATATAGCGTTGACTCACCACGCGTTAAGACCCGGGTTCGATTACCCCCATGGTTAAAATGTTTCTGCGCTCCCCCCCCCAATTGGTATTGCTTTAATATCACTAAAAGCCACTTAAAACCATACTCACTCACTCATTCACTGACTCACTCACTGACTCACACACTTGCTTGTATTTAAAAAAAAACCATAGAACAATACTTTGGTGGCTCCAAATGCTTCAGTTCAAGTGAGTTCAGCAATTAACCTAAACATTTAGTTTGTTTGTAATTGTCTTACCAGTGAAACCTTTTGTGTGAGTTCCTGTTAAAATTCCTCAATCTGTTTATTGTATGAGGCCATTTAGTGGATTGGTTGGTCCAGTGCTTTGACTTGGTTGATAGCATGTCCTGCATTACAGCTAATGTACCCCTATGGCATGGATTACTGCACTTAATATCAGTCACTGGTGTGTCTGGTCCAGACTCCTTTATTTACAGCTAGGATCATATTGCAGGAATACTGCTGAGTGTGGTGTTCACCTAGGGATGATTAGATATATGTCAGATGTCCATAGTTCGAGACAAACGAATCCTATATTAGGCCATAATATATATCCATATATATATATATGTTGGTTTAATCATGTTAATTACATTGTCATCACATCAGAGTTTAGATGAACATAAAGTCTCTGAAATGAAAATATTTGACAGAAAAACAGTTGTTATATTATCTTAATAAAATATAGTAAAGAGGGGCCCAGACACTCTCAACATTTTCAGCCTGAAACTGCAGTAAACTAGACTTGCCATCTTTTATAGACTTGCATGGGCTGTATTGGATATATTTGTTTTAGGGTGTGGATGAAACTGCAGTAATCTACACTTGCCAGCTGTTATAAAATTGCATGGGATTTTTTTTAATATATGAGTTTCAGGGTTTGTTTGATAGATTAAACAGAGTTCAACACTGGAAGGTTTTAATACAACAATCAATAATTTAAACAATGTAAATCAGGAAATAAAACTCCACAATATTTAACAATGAGTCTTATTTAGCAATATTTGTCTAATTTAAAGAAATCCTGTTTCAGATTCCATCATGGCTGAAGGTGAAAGCTTGATTGATGACCGGAGGACCAAACCTGCTTCTTGAGATGGAAGACCGACCCCTGCCTTGACGAAGGGCACCCTTTTAGTTATTTGAACTGAGTTAAGTCCCATCTCACGACGGGCACTTTCCAAAATTGTCCCATTGACGCCTCCTCCAGTGTCCAGTATGTGAATTTTGACATTGATCTCAACACAGTTGGATCGTAGTGGCCTCCTACTAGTCTGCAAGTGTAGAGAAAGTAAACAGTCATATGTGTACCCGACTTCCTTCCACTGGCTATTGGAACAATGGAGGGTAATCCATTAAAACATGAAGCGACTGTTTGTTGAAGAGCAGGAGTACTGATCAAGGAAGTCCTAATCAGCTTCAACTGCCTCACTAAGGTATTTAGCAATATTGGCAAATAAGGAGTTCAATAGTAACTAGCGCCGTCGTGCCACCAGTGTCGACTACAGCTTATCGTTGTTGTATAAGGGATTGACCACAGTTTCAAAAAGAAGAACAATGTATTAATTGATTGATGCCAAGTTCAACATAAGGTAATCAATGACTAATTGTTGCAAGGAGGAAAGTACTGCCATCTTAGCGATTGTTCAAGAAGGATCAGTGGCAGACTAAATGGTTTGACAATATTTATGGAAAAGGCTAATCTTGTCGCGTACGGGAGAACTAATTAAGGTGGCTGTGAACCAAAATGCTTGGTTGGACTTCTACTGGGTGAAAACTTTGGAAAAATTGTGATCCTGTGTACTTCTCCAAGAGTCACCATGTTAATGATCTGACACCAAGATTCTCCAGTCACCTTTTGACCTTGACCTCAACCTTGACCTGAAGTCAACATGGCAGTTCAGTGGCAGAAACTGAATCCGGCGCAGTTTCAGCAGCTGCAGGAGTACATGTCATGTAAGTAGGATGTAAATCTCATTTATATGTTCATACACCTGGACAAAAGCTTAGCATCATTTCCTATGTATTTCCATATGAAATAGTCATTTTTCTTAAATCATATCATCTGTTTTCCTACGAAACATTTATTTTCGTAATGCAACATATTCATATTGAAATATGGAAACATCAATTTTTTAGAAGCATGTTTCGTAACGGTTCATTGTCAATATTTATCTGAGTACCCTTTCAATTGCTCCTCTTCGTCTTTCTATCAGAGGGCGATGGAATAGCTTAGTGGTTAAAGCATTCACTCATCACGCTGAAGACCCTGGTTCGATTCCCCACATGGTACAATATGTTAAGCCCATTTCTGGTGTCCCCCCACCGTGATATTGCTAGAATATTGCTAAAACCGGAGTAAATCCATACTCACTCACTCTTACCTCCATCCCTTGGGTATATCTTCCTTAGTGAAAGATGTGATAATACTGTTCAAAGCGGTGTTAAGCCAATCTTACTCAACTGTAAGAACACTCTTAAACATTTTCTTCAATAGCCAAGAGGAATTCAGTTTGCTGTGCCGAGTTACGTCCCTTAGGAGTGCCAGAAGTCTTTAATGATTTGGTTGAATCCCTGTTCGCAGGGGCAGTCAGGTAGCCTAGTGGTTAAAGCGTTTGCTCGTCCCACCGAAGACTCGGGTTCGATTCCCAACATGGGTACCATGTGTGAAGCCCATTTCAGGTGTCCCCTGACGTGATATTGCTGGAATATTGCTAAAAGCGGCGTTAAACTATTCTCACTCACTCACTCACTCCACACCAGTGTTTCTGAGTTTGTCGGTACAATGACCATGCTCGTAGGTTTCGCCAAAGTGGTAAACTTCTGAGTCCTTCATTACTTCAGGCTTTCCTCCCACAACAAGCTGACAACTAACTCCCAAAGCACTGACTGCCATCATACTGCTGGAATATTGCTGAGTGGCATAAAATAACAAACAAACAAACAGTGTTATGTTACAAGCTAGATGATGTCATGCAATATTAGGTTGACCTATAATTTTCATAACTTGAGTGAGCTCCAGTAAATGATCCATCCGGCTTGTTCTTCTCACACTTCGAGCCGACATCAGACATGTAGCTTTGTTGTAGAGGATAATAGACAGTTTGTCTCATTGTCATTTGCTAGATTCGTACATTGCTTTTTACATATGGCTTTGGTTTCATTTGGCTGTCCCAGACAATTGGTAATGCAAATGCTTTCATTAAGTACTTTCGCATGCGTGCCATTGACATGTTTCACCAGAAATGGCATTCAGATATTTATGAAAGTTCAAGATATGATACTTATCGCCAATTCAAGTCATTGCTTGAACCAGAATCCTATTTATCAAATTTACGGTACAGGAATTCTCGTAACACCCTTATTCGTTTTAGACTTGGCCTGAATGATCTAAAAATTAACACAGGGAGATTTTCATCTATTGAGAAATCGATTGATTATGCCCATTTTGTGACATTGTTGTCGAAGATGAATACCATTTCATGTTTATTTGCCCTATATACTAAAATCTAAGAGACAAGTACTTACCGCAGTGGCCTAGATCTCTATCTCATTTTAATGCTAAAAGATTGTCTTCATTACTGTCTTGCAAGGATCTTATAACACAACATCAACTGGCTTTGTACATACATAATGCTTTTTTGTTACGAAGTGAATTGTTACCTTGACTTTGTATTTTATAAAATATGTTATGTAACTCCGTTGTATATGGGCCTGTGGCCTTTCATACCATAAAGAATTGAATTGAAAATTGAATAGATAGAATTTCATGTATTACATGAGGGTCAATAAAACCATCAGCAAAGTTAAACATGCAAGTATACATGATGATGGGTGTTGTTAAGGACATATTGACTATGAAGGCTAAAGTATCTTCTTCAATGCCTTATCAACAAATATAATTGCTCTGTCTTTTCTTCAAGGATCAAGTACATTAGGCATAGCCCCCTGAAGATCTGGGTATATCATGTATTGTATTGTTGAGTTAACATTGTATTGTTGGCTGTGCACCAGTGCATAAGGGATTCATATCAGCTGAATTACTTGTGTCAGATTTCCCTTGTAATGCCACCTTTATCATGACCTGCGAAGATCTCCGGGGTTGAATAGGTCTTCAGCAACCCATGGTTGCCATAAACAGTGACTATGCTTGTCGTAAGAGGTGACTAACGGGATCGGGTGGTCAGGCTGGCAGACTTGGTTGATGCATGTCATCATCTCCCAATTACGTGGTTCGATGCTCATGATGTCAATCACTTGATTGTCTGGCTTAGACTAGATTATTTAAAGACCGCCGTCTTATAATTGGAATATATTTCTGAGTGCGGCGTTAAACAACAAATAAACAAAACAACATTGTACAGCAGTGATTAGCAGTGTTTATATCTTTGACGAGTATGTCTATTTCTCAGTGAATTGAGCTGTAAAAGTGTAGACGAAGCCTTTGATGTGACTGACACTAATTGAGGTTTGCTAATCTGTAAGAAAGTGATTATCATTTAGTTACAAGAATGTTTAATTTCACCGTTAATCAAACTTGAGGTTTGCTAGATTGCTACTGACGTAATATCTAAATATTTATGTGTAGGTCTCCATTATCTATTTATAGCTCTGTTTACGTGTTTACAACCTTTCATGCCTTCAACATGTTCAAGATACAGTAAACTACGGTTAATTATATTCAAACAACAAACAAACAAACACAAACAGCCTTCTTAAAAAGGAGAACCTGGTTTCTACTAGCTCTTGTTTGTCGAAAATCATTTGTGATTATGGAATGGACTATTGAACATTGAAATAACCAATTTTGAAAGAGACTATTATGTTGACTTGCATGACATAACGACGTGACCCATTGTGTTATTTTGTACACCTGGCCAGTGTAGCAAGTAGACAATGGAATTAATTAACTGCATTGTCTCACATAATTATCCAATCAATGTTACAATTTGCAAGTCAGGCTGACTGTGATCTTGTGGATGCAAAGGGTTTGATTAGCATGAGGGTGGGGTTGAATCTTATTGTGGATAATGCTTCAGTCTGAATTCTTGTTGAATGCCTAGCAAACAATGAATTTAGATAATGACAATCAACAAACTACACATCTTTGCATTAACCTTAAATTATTATTACTATATTATTACTATATTATTCATATATATAACACAGGTAATCAGGTACTAGAATCTACTCAAATACAGTTTTATATCTTCCCTGACAAGTGGTTGCGTTTGCATATAGTTATCATTGTCAACTCCCTTGGGAGAATACAACCCAAGCTGCCTACGGGCGCTAGACGGTTTTCATATCCACCTCACAAATCGGGTACCCATTGCTGGGTGAACAAAGGCACATTTTAACAAAGTCACTTGCCCAGGGTGATGCCGCATATTTGACACCTGTGTTTCAGGTGTATGTACGTATTCATGTTTCCACCATCTGTTCATCTACAATCGGATGAGTGGTATGTGTGTATTAGGGCTGGGACGAGTCCAAATGTACTACCTGGGTACCCCCCCCTCTATTCCCTGACCCTACCCGGGTAATCGTTGTCTCAAGAGATAGGTGGGGCGGTCGGGTAGCCTAGTGGTTTAAGCATTGGCTCGTCATGCTGAAGACCTGGGTTCGATTCCCGACATGGGTATAATGTGTGAAGCCCATTTCTGGTGTTCCCCATCGTGATATTGCTGGAATATTGCTAAAAGCGGCGTAAAACCATACTCACTCACTCACTCACTCAAGAGATAGGTACAAACTGTCCGATGGGAAAAGTTTGCCCTCGCAAAATTTATTCAGATGCATGTATAAAACGATCAGGTCATGCATACATGAAGTTCACTGCATAAAGTTTCATCTTTATTCAAAGATATACAAGTCAGAAGTAATGAGTGCATAGTCAGAAAGAAATGGGAACATTAGTGACTTGTAGTGTAACCATGGAGTTTTAGATAATTTTTGGCATTAAACAATATATCACGTGACTAACCACGGGTCCGGGTAGTCCTGTGGGTACCTGGGTCCTACTCAGTACCTACCCGACCCGAGTACCTGAGTTACCAATCTCAGCCCTAGTGTGTATGTACTAAAAAAGGAGAACCGTTCCAATCAGTGACATTCAGCATGGACCTATGATCATAAGCTTTGGCACAGAACTAGTAAAGCAATATTTTGTCTGATCAACTTGCTGTTACTCAACTATCAACTCATCAATTCGTGACCAGCATGAACTACGACTCTATGACTATCATGTTAAACTGCAAATGTACCATCCGTAGTATCATCTGATTTCAGACATGTTTTATGAAAAGTTTTTTTGTCAGGTTGTGATGCTTTTTTAGACCAGAATCAATTGAAAACAGCCACTAATTGCACTTAAACCCAAAAATGTAGTTTCATATCATTTACAGTAAACTACAGTTATAACGAACTCAAAGGGACCACTTATTTTAGTTCGTAATAACCGTAGTTCGTTATAAGCACATATACAGCGCATATACAATAAAGGGGCGGGACCAAAGTATACAGTTTGTTATATCAGTCAGTTCGTTATAAGCGTGTTTGTTATAACCATAGTTTACTGTATCTTGAACATGTTGAAGGCATGAAAGGTTGTAAGCAGAGCTATAAATAGATAATAGAGGCCAACTCATCAATATTTAGATATTATGTCAGTAGCAATCCAGCAAACCTCAAGTTTGATTAACGGTGAAATTAAACATTCTTGTAACTAAATGATAATCACTTTCTTACAGATTAGCAAACCTCAATCAGTGTCAGTCACATCAAAGGCCAGTCAGCTTCGCCTGCACTTTTACAACTTAATTCACTGAGAAATAGACATACTCGTCAAAGATCTAAACACTGCTAATCACCATAGTACAATTTATTTTTGTTTATTTGTTGTTTAACGCCACACTCAGCAATATTCCAGCTATATCACGCCGGTCTATGAGGTGGTGAGGTGAAATGGGGTTTAACGTCGCGTCCAAGATTATTGCACTTATATAGCGACCTGCATGCACATGTATGTGTGGCTGCTTGTACCAGTCAGGACTGATGCCGATTTATAGTGCTAGCTCACTGAGATACCATGTCGCAGTTTAACATGAATACCCCACTCAGACACAGTATACTGACTCCGAGCCGACCAGTCCTTGTTTTAGCCCCTTATGCCAAGCGCCAGAGAGGGTAACAACAAGTACAATCTTTTAATGTCTTTTGGTACGATACGGCCGGGGATCAAACCCAGGACCTTCGGCTCTCCGGGCGGATGCTCCACCACTAGATCACTGAGCATGCTGAGGCGGCCGAGGGCGGTCTGTAAATAATCGTGAGACATCATGAGCATGAATCCACCCAGTTGGAATAAAATGTACAAGCTTTGAAAATATTTTATTGTATTTAAATAATGATGACTCCCTGAATCAAATCGGACCTAGGCAATGTTGGTTGGAGAAGTCCATATTATGAACAGGTGGTACAATTTGGTATTTCCCGCATATTCTCACAATTGTCAAGTCGATTATCTGTACCTTTTCTGGGGGCACGGGTGGCCCAGTCGTCTAAGGCGCCGCAATTCGCTGTGCAGAGTTGCGTCACTAGGGCACGCCAGAAACCTATTATTGTGGGTTCGAATCCCGGTTCTTCCCGATTATGTTTCTAGGTTTGTCAGCACCATACCCGTGCTCGTGGGTTTCACCAAAGTGGTAAACGTCTGAGACCTGCATCACTTCGGGTGATGACGGAACAATGTTTCATCGTGAAATATACCATGCTTCATTCTTCTTTGTTCTTTGCGATTTTTAGTAGCTGTCTTACATATTAAGATAAAGGGGAACAACACACAGTAGTATTTGTCGTGTGCCAACATAGCACACTTTTACAGCACTTTTGTAACTTGCTAATGCGCCATATTTGCACTGCTATATCCAGTTACGAGCCACTATTCCGTCATTTTTAGCCATTATCATGTCATGTTTGCATCCTTATTGCACTATTAACGCAATACGTCGCACCGTTTTCATTGCAAGTTATCGCCATTTTAAGCCACATTCGTAATACTGTCACTGCACTATCGTGAACATATATCAGCACTATTTCGTAATACTGGGGAAGGAACTTATTACATGTACAGGTTGTGGTACTCAAACATAATATGTAATAAACATCATAACTGATTACATTCCAAGAACAAGGGGCGGTCGGGTAGCCTAGTGGTTAAAGAGTTCGCTCGTCACGCCGAAGACCCGGGTTCGATGCCCGTCATGGGTACAATGTGTGAAGCCCATTTCTGGTGTCCCCAGCTATTGCTAAAAGCGGTGTATAACCAAACTCACTCACTCACTCCATGAACAGTGCTCAGCTTGCTTAACAAAGGATCTAGAAATCATGACCACGGCGTAATTGACATGTCAAAAAAACAGACACAAAAAATTATTGGTCTTCATAGAACACTCACAACTTTGACAATAGATAGTCGCTCAAAGGAAGACAGTGCGGGACCTCATTCCATTAACTGTATACTGCCGGACCATATATTGACCGAGATCTATGTATAAGGCTCTCTAACTATTACTTTTGTTAGGCTACAAATGTGTGTAAGAGACAGGCAGCGCATCTATTCCAAGTCATCGATCTGTAAAAGTTCACAAACCTAACATCACCTTTTGTCCTTGATCAGGTTCGGAATGATTAGCCGAAGTGATTCATCTTTTTGTTTTCTCACCAAATTGATGTGAATATAAATATTTTAAGGTTAATCTAGCTACTTACTGGAAAGTAGAAGTGTTGACGACTGAATCTCCTGCTTCACAGTGTCCAGAAGGAACGGCCTTCACATGGTGGAGCTTCTCTAACATTCTGTCTAAGTAAGATAGAAAAGGCTGGATGGTTTGAATATTTAACTCTAATTCTCTTCTCAAGTCCCAAAATAAAGAACCAAGGTTCTTTAAGATGTTCTTGCATATTGAGGTAACCATGTCTGAAGTTCCTTCTGATATTTTATGGATGATTATAGAATTTTACCTGAAGTTGAAAACAATTCCGAGTTCAAAGCTTACAACATGTGATGATGAAAAAACCACCAAGTTATTATGGAACAAAACAACAGTGTTTTTATGTTCATATGTGTCACTCAAAGAAGTGAAGAACACCCTGTTCTTTCAAATTAGGGGCGGTGGGGTAGCCTAATGGTTAAAGCGTTCGCTGGTCACGCCAAATACCCGGGTTCGATTCGCCACATGGGTACAATGTGTGAACCTATTTCTGGTGTCCCCTGCCGTGACACTGCTGGAATATTGCTAAAAGCGGCGTAAAACCAAACTCACTCACTCACTCACTGACTCTTTCAAATTAATTTTGTTTATCTGTCATGTCATGAAAGATTAACTATAGTAATATGAAAGAATCAGGTGTTCCTTAACTTCTTTTGAGTAGTATATATCCACTGGCGGAGTAAACCTGAAGTGAAATTCACACTAGAGTAAAACATTCAGTACTTCCTAATGGGGGATGCTTATAGCAGGAACCCTCCCTGTTATCCCTTGTAACAATGACAACAGTTTTTCCTCAAAGGTTTCCTCTTTGCATTTGGAAGTACATTTTAGGGCTGGGACGGGTAACTCGGGTACTCATCAAGTGGGTCCTGAGTAGGACCCGGGTACCCACAGGACCACTCGGACCCGTGGTTAGTCACGTGATATATTGTTTAATGACAAAAAATATCGAAAACTCTATGGTTACACTACAAGTCACTAATGTTCCCATTTCTTTCTGACTATGCACCCATTCCTTCTGACTTGTATATATTTGAATTAAGATGAAACTTTATGCAGTAAACTTCAGCGTATGCATGACCAGATCGCTTTACATGTGTATCTAAATACATTTTGCAAGGGCTATGGTCAATTTTTTCCAAATCGGACAGTTTGTACCTATCTCTAGATATCTACAGCAGGTATCCGGGTAGGCATGTTAGGGTTGGATAGGAGGGTGATGGGTACCCGGGTAGTAAATTTGGACTCGTCCTCGTATCTCCTCTGGAACTTCCTCAAGTATCAAAATACAGAAATAATGACTCTGATATGTTTGGAGATATTGGCACAAAAGAGAATCTTGATTTAGCGAATGGCTTGTGAATCTTGATACACATGATCATTCTTCCAAGAACTAGTCTATGGGAAAAGGGCTTCGTTGTTGTACCGTACACCATAGTTAACCTTCACCTTAGTTAACTAGGCTAAACTCTCAGGTATAGAACAAGATAATTCTATACAGAGTGGAGAGCATCTACAAACCCACAAACCAGGATGATCACCATCACTCTCACTCACTCACTCACTCACTCACTCACTCACTCACTCACTCACTCACTCACTCACTCTATCTATTTCAATCTGTTACATTTTATAGCTCTAAATACATTCCAAGTATTTCACCCCTTATGGCTTTTGAACGATTCATCAGTCATGTCAGTCACCTAGTATGTCCTTGCTTATGATTTGGTTGTGACAAGGTCACATTTAGGGTGTATCAACAACAAAGAGGTCACATTTAGGGCGTATCGACAACAAAACCCTGGTAGCATCTCATTTCATGTGTCATTTACCCTTGACAGAGATCCAACGACCTGAAGACTTGACCCCCCTCCCCCATTATCAGCGTCTAACATGGCAGCATCACGTCGCAGCCTCACTATGGATGAACGTATTCATTATATCCTGAGTCCACAGTTATTGACATATTTATGCAATTGGTGCCGTATAATTATTGATGCAAGAAATATGGCCAGCTGTTCGATTCCCAGGTCATTACAGTGATTCAGGCTGTCGGAGAAACTCCACGCTCGTAACCATCGCTTTCTCAACACGATGTATTAATCAAGCTCGAGTCCACTTCCTCTGTTAATGCTGCCTATCCTAGTATATCAGGCACATTAGTGTGACGTCGCCTTTTGACTTGTTTAAACATTGAGAAGATTTATGCATAAGCTACTTTCTGTTTTCCCATTCTGGAGCTATTTTTGGTAGAATTTGCATTCAGCGTGAGCTGGCATTAGTACCTCTTACACAGGAATGGTTTACACATGATAGGTTTTATTGCTATTTGCTGTCCCTCTTTAACATAACACTGACAGTAAGCATAACCAAGTTTCACTTGGAAAATAAGTAACTGATGGTCAGGCTGTTTGGATGATAGTTGTACCGGTAATAATCTAGCGCTTTGAGCACGCAGGGATAAATATCATCATCATCATCATCAACTTCTTGATGATCATCAAAATTATTAAAATTAGTAGTAGTATTAGTAGTAGTAGTAGTAGTAGTAGTAGTAGTAGTAGTAGTAGTGTGTGGTCTGGTCATACAGAGCTGTATATCATTTATATGCATCTGTAATAAAAGTAACACTATGTATCCTTTAAGAGGGTTTCAGAAATAGAGGTGAAATGTTTTTTCTTTGCATTCAAGATTATTTCACTTATTATTTCGTTGACTCCGAGCCAACCAGTTCTTGTTTTATCCCTTAATGCTGAGCACCAATCAGAGAAACAACAAGTACCATCTCAAGAAAGCAATATTTATAATAAAAACTTTGATGTCGTCCACATATATGTTAGGGCCATGTTACCTGAAGCACAATTATTTTGTTTAGGCCTTAGTACACATGGCAGATATTGTACAGAGTTGCCTCCCCTACCCTTGGCAGGATTTGCTGTTGACTGTACCTGTCCTCTGTGTCATGTGTATATTTGCTGGTGTCATGTGTATATTTGCTGGTGAAATGTAATAGTAAGTTCCTTATATTGCTGCTACCATAAGTGGCATAAACCTAAACTTAGATATTCATTTATTAATTATTGTGAATCTATGTTATGTTACAGACTCCTCTAAGAAGCTGACCGATGTCCTAGATGAGTTCAATGGCAACGGAGCCTTGTCCAAATATAATCGAGATGAGGTAAGTGTTGCTTATTTTAGTCTTTTGTTGACTAACTGATTTACAAATAATGAAAACAATATGTGAACAATACAGACTGAAGTACTGTATTCGACGTAATAAGCACCCCGCTCTAATTATAAGCACCCACAGCGATATTTGCTAATATATTGGCTAGTGTACACAAGACTTATTTATTCATGTATTATATACATATATGGTGTATTATATGCACTCTTAATTATTGGCAATTAAATTCTGGAAAAATATGTCTGTCGTATCTAAACATTTCAGGCTGTCAGCATAAACCACGAAATTTACAATCTTTCAACTCTGTTTTCTTCACCAAAATGATATTCTAATAAGAGCCAGCTATTTCTAATTTTGAGTGCACCCTGGGCGCTTATTACGTCGAATACGTTATATCATGTATTGTATTGTTGAGTCAATATGGCAGTGCACCAGTGCATAATTGTATATGGTGTGATGCACCATGTGTGTGAGTTGAGAAATTTATCTTACCAACATTCATTCATACAAGTCAGGAGTTACACAAACCGAGGTATATTTCCCTTTACCCAATGCATTTGGACAAACATCAGTTCATTTCAGAAACTCAATGATACATATGCAAGACGAACATGCTACTTAAGATGTGCTCCGATTAATTTCTTAGTGGGCTACATGAAATTTGTACCCCACCTGTGAGCGGGTACATAGAAAAACAGTTGCTCGCTCCTTAACCAATCAGAAGCTTGTATTTAAGGTAAGGTAAGATGCAGATTTTTAATGAGCATTTCAAATATTTGCTGTTTGTTTCGTTTCAGCCGATCGACTATGAGGGGTTCCAGCTGTTCATGGAAATTCTGATGGAATCCTCATTAACTGAAGAATTGTGCAAGACTCTCTTTTTGTCTTTCATGAAGAAACCAGTCCCCCAAGGGGCCAATGTCGGTAAGGAATTCCACATCCGTGATGTGGCTGCAGCAATGGCATCACAAACTTTGTGTGCACCAATCACCCACCAGACGGCTGATATCCACCTCGAAAAACCAGAAAAGCATCATGGTCTTGCTGAAAAGCTCCATGGACTTACCGAGAAGCTTCACGGCCTTGGTCATCATGGCGGTGAGAAAGGCCACTCCCGCCATGATAGCAGCGGTACCGATGCTGGGAGACGAAGTAGAGCAGGTAGATGTCAGCCACGCCATCAAACAAATTGTTTGAGTTATGAAGAAAGGACTGAGCCATCACTTTACACTTATCTTATTTCTGGCTGAAGAACCAAAATCCTGACTTGCCTTGACCTTGCAATAACCAGTTTCTTTTAAAAATCTGAAAATCTTTGCTTACATCTGAGTATGTTGGTCCTATCGAATAATGTCTAGATATATATATAAATATATGCCAACATTTCCGGAGTAAGGTACGGACATGGAACATCATACTGTAAGATAGACCCAATGATTGTACACTGTAAAGAAGTAGAAAGATCTTAGTGAGATTCTGGTAAAGAGTGAAGGACTCAGGTTGAACCTGAATGCTTATCAAGCTCAATTCATCTCAAAATTATGGTTAATCCTGTTAGGCCAGTATGAAGTGATTATCAGATAATCATCCATTCCATATCCTTCTTGAATATCACCTCTTTATATTTCTGAATTGGTTGCATAAGACTCAGTTTGGAGTATATTGTGTTAGTTACTCTTTTGCTAAAAATTAGGGCTCGTTACACATATACTGAGTTTGAGTCTGCTCATTGGTAAAATGTATGAAAACATTCTTGATGTCCTCTGCTTTATCAAATGTTTATGGCTGAAATAATAAGACACTAGATCATTCAAGGGTTGTGGTGTAGCCTTTTGGTTAAAGCGTTCACTCTTCGTGACAAAGTCCAGGGTTTCGATTGCCACATGTGTACAATGAGCGAAGCCATAATTTTCTGGTGTCCCCTGCTGTGATTCTGCTGGAATATTGCTAAAAACGGCATAAAACTATACTCACTCATAATTTTTAACAATAATAACCAAGCTTGTCATCATGGTCCTCTATCAAAGAAAGAAAAGATGAAATGCTTGACTTTAAAAAAAGCGTAATAATAATGAAAATGAATGTCTAATAATTAATTTGTACAGGCCTTCCTCCAACTTACAGTATGGTGGTCTATGTCTTCAGCTTACTCTTTGTGACATGAGCCATAGTTAACATCCCGCGGACGATGTTTCAAATTCGGCCCCTGCTCCACCACAAGCACTATACCAGCACAAACGTATTATTTGCAAATAGTTTTATATTATTATTTTTTATCCGAAATTTTTTAACACTATATATACAAGAGCACACATGCAGCAGCAGCAGCAAGATGACCATTTCCTCATACACAAAAGTATATACTACTCAAAAAATGTTAGGACACCTCGGTTCTTCGTATTACTGTAGTTAATCTGTCATGGCATGAACTATAGTACTATGAAAGAGCCGGTCGGTCCTGTCCATGGCATGACAGATTAACTGTAGTAATGTGAAAGAATCAGGTCATCCTTAACCTTTTTTGAGTAGTATATTTTATACATATGGTCCATGTACTTGTTTTGTCTTTTTTGGTTCCGTAATGTCCTTCCATATGAAATGCCATCTTTGACCTCTTCATTTGCATGCATAATGTACACTATTGACCAACTATTCCCTTACCCTGTTAATACAATCCTTTAAGTAATGCATGGTGCATGACCCCTTGGCCTCTCACATCTGATCTTTCTATTTGCATATTGTACTGGACTGATTGACAGTTTGGGACTTGTGGTCCAAAGAAAGATTGTTGAAGTGTGCATGTGTGTGTGAGGGTGTGATATGTGTAAAAAAAATGTCATTGGGTAAATTGAGTTTTGAAATGTGTCAAGCCCTAATAATGAATTTCAGCAGATTTCGTAATACGTTGTTTAATATTTCTATATTGGATCGCATTGTTTTTAAGTATTAGGATTTTTTTATTTTTGGGAAATGGAAATATAAACCAAACGTGCGGCAGACATTTTAATGATGTGGGCGGTGCCTAAAAACCAAGACTATTTTTCTTTTTTAGCCTAAACTAATCTTCATTGAAGGCATGGACAATCTATTTCTTTAAAAATATATCTTTGAAGTTTATAGTCAAAGTGGAAGAAAGAATGTGGTCGATATCAGTATACAGATAGAATATTCAGATTATGAAACAGAAATGACAGGAAATCAATCTTCAAGGGCACACACAGCATTTATTAATGCCCACCTGTCGAAGGTGACACCACTAACACCATGCATAGCATGCACACCTATGCATGATGCAGTTGCACCAACCACCTTTCAATCAGTCTTCATTCTGCCAATCAGAATCTGTCTTGCATGTGGCTTGCTCCACCCTTTCTTCAGTGGCGCTCCTTCGTCTCCTGGGACATGGCAGCTGACTTGCTAGGGTCAAGGTCACCAGATGACCTGACCTTTGACCTATGGCCTGATGTGGTATGTAGTTTCAGACCATTTTTTGTTGCATTTGGCCCTTGTTTTGGACATCAGACCATGGTGGGTAATTTGGTGTGCGTTTCTTCAAAGCACCTGTAGAGTGGTTCATGCATTTTTTCATTTTATTATTTTTCATGTTAAAAAATTCATTCATTATGTTAAATAAAGATAGCAGAAAATTATGAAATTGAACTATGATGTGAAGTTCTTCCGCAGTGAAGTTCATATCTTTAATCTCAGACGATCTCCGTTTCCTTTTCTAACTGGAGTGACTATTTGTATTACATATACCTTTGTTCATTGATCATTTTGAGTTGATTTTGTGTCTGTTTAGTGTTGTGTTGTGTTGTGTTTACCCTTTGTGCTCATTGTGTTATTTCAATGTGTCGTTCAACTGTTTGTATGTCGATTGTTACTGAAATCACTAACTGTCATATCATGCATTGACGATAGGAATTACATTTTCTGAAGGTTCCCACGGTCAAATGAAGAAGTCAGATATTCATGTGTTTATATACACAACATTCTTCCATCACCATAAATACATACATCCGTTATCGGTAATCAAATGTAATGCGGCTGTTTATATGAAATGACAAAGTACAAGAATAAACAGTCCAGATTGCCCACTGAAACAGATTCCATTGGACTTGAAAGGCAAAATGGTGGTGAAAATTATATCAATGGATCTCTGACAATTGACGATGACACCAGGTGTGTAAGAATGTCTTGCTCTACCAATAGTACCTGCCAGTGTGGACCCGTGAAGATCCGGGGTAGAATAGGTCTTCAGCAACCCATGCTTGCCGTAAGTTGACTATGCTTGTCATAAGAGGCGACTAACGGGATTGGGTGATCAGGCCTGCTGACTTGGTTGATGCATGTCATCGTATAATGAAAACAATATTGGAACAATACAGACTGAAGTATATCATGTATTGTGTTGCTGAGTTAATATTGTATTGTTGGCTGTGCACCAGTGCATAAGGGATTCATATCAGCTGAATTACCTGTGTCAGATTTCCCTTGTAATGCCACCTTTATCATGACCCACAAAGATCTGGGGTTTTAATAGGTCTTCAGCAACCCATGCTTGCTATAAACAGTGACTATGCTTGTCGTAAGAGGTGACTAACGGGATCGGGTGGTCAGGCTCGCTGACCAAGTTGATGCATGTCATCGTATCCCAATTGTGTGGATCGATGCTCATGATGTCAATCACTTGATTGTCTTGTCCAGACTTGATTATTTACAGACCACTGTCATATAGCTGGAATATTGCAGAATGTGGCGTTAAACAACAACAACAACAACAACAACAACAACAAACAGTAACCTGCCAGTGTCACAATTTGTCGACATCAAATAAGCCGAATCTGTGCATGAACTTTGTGCTATCCCTACTATTGCCTGACCATAAGGCAGTGTGTAGGGTGGAAGCTGCTAGGATGTGGCCCATGTTGCACTCCTCATCAAACGTTACTGTTTGTGCAATGTACACTAAGCCATCATTGGCTTGAGCATCCACTAAGACACAACCCTATTGTAAACACCTGGTGTCATCACTCATTTTAAGTGATCCATTCATTTTGACCGCGATTTTGCCTTTTAATCTAATAGTTTTGACCACAATTTTTGCCAATGGAATCTGTTTTGACGGATGATCGAGACTGGTTATTCTCTGTCGTTGATGTTTTCACATTCATTGATTAGTTGGTGAAAAATATCGACTCTGCAAAGCCGCCCTATGTAATCACAGGTGATGGAGGAACATTGTGCTTACAAGACGTGAAGATATCTGTTTATAATGTTTACAGGCCTAAGTGTAATTGTACTATATTACCACATAGATTCTGATACACATACACTAATCTTTTTAAAAACAAATATGGAATTCCAGGCAGTTCCCCCGAGAAATGTCTGACGACAGATTTAGGTATTGTTAACATGTTGTGATAAGTAAGGGTTGAACTAAAATACACAGAGGTGTCAATGCATCCTGATGCAATGCTGTCTTCCCATTCTGCCCAAAGTAAAATCAGGTCTTCAGAAACCCATGCTTGTTGTAAAAGGTGACTATGCTTGTCGTAAGAGGCGACTAACGGGATCGGGTGGTAAGGCGCGCTGACTTGTTTGATGCATGTCATAGTATCCCAATTGCGTGGATCGATGCTCATGATGTCAATCACTGGATTGTCTTGTCCAGACTCGATTATTTACAGACTGACGTCATATAGCTGGAACATTGCCGAGTGCGGCGTTAAACAACAAATAAACAAACAAAATACCGTAAAATCATGATATGATATGGTCTGATGCTCAGAAAGGGATGCACAAGTGAACATGACTGTTATCTGTTTCACCTGTGACAGGAGGCACAATAGGAAACACTTGTGAAATAAAATCAAATCTGTGGTATATAATCATAATGAGATACTAGTACCTGTGGTATATAATCATAATGAGATACTAGTACCTGGATACCTGTGGTGTATAATTATAATCATAATCAGATACTAGTACCTGGATACCTGTGGTATATAATCATAATCATAATCAGATGCTAGTACCTGGATACCTGTGGTATATAATCATAATCATAAACAGATACTAGTACCTGTATACCTGTGGTATATAATCATAATCAGATGCTAGTACCTGTATATCTGTGGTATATAATCATTATCATAATTATCCCCCGCCGCGCGAAAGCGCGAAGCGGGGGATATAGTATTCATGACCGTCCGTACGTACGTCCGCGATATCTCAAGAACTAAACACTGGATTGTCTTCATATTTGGAACTATGGTGTATATACAGACTCCGCAGACACCAGTCGGTTTTGGTGACCTTGATCCCATTTTCAAGGTCACAGCAGACAAATCTGCTTTTAGAGTTGGAAAACGGTGTTGCCGCGATATCTCAAGAACTAAACACTGGATTGTCTTCATATTTGGAACTATGGTGTATATACAGACTCCGCAGACACCAGTCGGTTTTGGTGACCTTGATCCCATTTTCAAGGTCACAGCAGACAAATCTGCTTTTAGAGTTGGAAAACGGTGTTGCCGCGATATCTCAAGAACTAAACACTGGATTGTCTTTATATTTGGAACTATAGTGTATATACAGACACCGCATACACCTGTCAGATTTGGTGACCTTGACCCCATTTTCAAGGTCACAGCAGGCAAATCTGTTTTTGGAGTTGGAAAACGGTGTTGCCACAATATCTCAAGAACTAATCGCTGGATTGTCTTCATATTTGGTACTATGGTGTACAGGCGGGGGATATTTCGTCACTCTGTGACAAATACTTGTTATAATAATAAGCAGTCTAAATTTTAAGGTTTATCAAGAAAATATTGAAATACTGCTTAGCATAAAATATGAATTTACGTCTTATAAAGGTTAAAAAGGTTATCGGAAAGAGTCCCATTCTTGGTCTGTTACAGGTTTCTATACTGCATTGTTATCCATCCAACTACGCGGTGTTTCTGAAGGCTGTTTGGTAAAACACAAATTCCATGAAAGAAAATGAGTAGAATAGATATTCCGCCATTAACTTATTGACATTAACTGATTTAAAAAGGTGTTCGTGTCTATATGTTGGCAGCATGGCCAGGAAGCTGGTTTAGTCTGGTCATTTTCTGAACAAGGAACAGGTTGAAGCTGATTGAGTTCAACATGCACTGTGTCGCAGTTGTATACTTCACAATCGTATCAGATTCACTCTGTGTTGTACAAGTTCCAATAGCTTTAATATTCATGTGCTTATTGTGGTAAGGAAAACTTGTTTATGACATATTGACATCCAACAATGGATTGAAGGTTACCTCATTGCAAGGTGAAACACATTTACCGATAAATTTCTCCATGGTGGCATGAAAAGCCATACGATTGTATCATTAGTGTCAGATTAATATTGTTTTGTTTTGTTTTGTTTATATAATCTATCTCGCTGAGAATAGATATCAATGGATGACATTGTCATCTTTATAGTTCACATTGGTTGCCATGGAAACCATGTTACTGAAATCATTTTGTAATCCTAGAATTTAATTATTTTTTTTTTTATCTATATAACCAACTGTTTTTCATCTCTAAATTAGTCAACATCTTTAGAGAATGTTAATTTGTTGCTTAACGCCGCACTCAGCAATATTCCAGCTATAGGATGGCGGTCTGTAAATAATCAAATCTGGACCAGACAATCCAGTGATTGACATCATGAGCATCGATCCAGGCAATTGGGATACGATGACAAGCATCAACCAAGTCAGCGGGCCTGACCACCCGATCCTGTTAGTCACCTCTTACGACAAGCATAGTCGCCTTTCACAGCAAGCATTCTACCCCGGATCTTTTAGGTCCTTTAGTGAATGTAAACAAGTGGTTTATGTTTGCTCAAATTTCTGCATTAAGTACCTCCTTATGTCCTATATTTTAACTCTTTTTCACTTTTTATTAACTGGTTTTCAAGATCAGTTTGAACTTCAAAACATTCTGAGAATTATGTTCAAGCAATGTTTAAGGTCTGAATATTGTTAGTAAGTCATGATGGACAACATGTAGAATTCATACCTAAGGGTAGAACCCAGTTTTTTTGTTTGAATGATGACAGGCTGATCTGATGACATAAGTGTGTCTTTACATTATTACTCAGTGCCACTTATCACCTGGGAAGATACCTCCAAATAAGTCCTAGAATTTCAGAGATTCCAGATCTTTTTATGAAAATACTAATATGCTTTTTCTGAGACAATGCATTGATCAACAGTGTTGATTTTTATGTCCATAGAAATAAAATTATTGTGAAAACTCGACATTGTTTAATATGATATCATGAAATGTTTGTGTAGGTTCGACAGGTGCGTCGACCCACCCGTCAGTGGCAGTCAACCAGCAAATGGACAAAGTCCACCACGGTGAAGATGGGGCCCCCAATGAAGCGTCCAACCACTCCCGGTCATCCTCAAAGAAGTCAAGCCACAGCATTCACAGTGTTCATAATGGTACGAGCTGTTTTCCTCATCTTGGCTATCGTGCCCAAAGTGTTGTTAGCGTTGAGTCTTAATTTGAATTGAGGGGTCTGTGACTCAGAAGTCTAAGGTGTGCAGTTCACTGTGCAGAGTTGCATCTCTTTGTAGTGCCAGGATCTGCAGATCATGGTTTAAATGTCAGATTCACCCAAATTAAGTTTCTTGGTTTTATGCCTGTGCTTGACAGTGTCATATAAGTGGTAAATGTCTGCGGTCAACACATCCCTTTAAGTGTGTCCTCTTGTGTCAAGTTGACATGCTGTGATGCAACTAAATTTTTGTTCAAAGTGTTGGTAAACACATCTCTCTCAGTGTGGGGAAGTAGGAGAATTGCAGAATTACTGGCACTTGTTCCCTTCATTCACAAACTTAGCTTGATGCTACAACTATTGTAATTCCAAAACTTTAACATAAAATATACAGTGGTCATAGTACTAAGGTCTGTCAGTGGATATAGTGCTGATGTCTGTACAGTGGTCATAGCACTAAGGACTGTGCAGTAGTCATAGCGCTGAGGTCTTGTACAGTCAGCATAGCGCTGAGGTCTGTGCAGTCGGCATAGCGCTGAGGTCTGTACAGTGGTCATAGCGCTGAGGTCTGTACAGTCGGCATAGCGCTGAGGTCTGTGCAGTCGGCATAGCGCTGAGGTTTTGTACAGTCGGCATAGCGCTTAGGTCTTGTACAGTCGGCATAGCGCTGAGGTCTGTACAGTGGTCATTGCGCTGAGGTTTTGTACAATCGGCATAGCGCTGAGGTCTGTACAGTCGGCATAGCGCTGAGGTCTGTGCAGTCGGCATAGCGCTGAGGTTTTGTACAGTCGGCATAGCGCTTAGGTCTTGTACAGTCGGCATAGCGCTGAGGTCTGTACAGTGGTCATTGCGCTGAGGTTTTGTACAATCGGCATAGCGCTGAGGTCTGTACAGTCGGCATAGCGCTGAGGTCTGTACAGTCGGCATAGCGCTGAGGTCTGTACAGTGGTCATAGCGCTGAGGTCTGTACAGTCAGCATAGCACTGAGGTCATGTACAGTGGTCATTGCGCTGAGGTTTTGTTCAATCGGCATAGCGCTGAGGTCTGTACAGTGGGCATAGCGCTGAGGTCTTGTACAGTGGGCATGGCACTGAGGTCTTGTACAGTCGGCATAGCGCTGAGGTCTTATGCAGTCGGCATAGCGCTGAGGTCTGTGCAGTCGGCATAGCGCTGAGGTCTTGTACAGTGGTCATAGCGCTGAGGTCTGTGCAGTCGGCATAGCGCTGAGGTCTTGTACAGTGGGCATAACGCTGAGGTCTTGTACAGTGGGCATGGCACTGAGGTCTTGTACAGTCGGCATAGTGCTGAGGTCTTGTGCAGTCGGCATAGCGCTGAGGTCTGTGCAGTCGGCATAGCGCTGAGGTCTTGTACAGTGGTCATAGCGCTGAGGTCACAGCTTGGAACTGATCACCATGAGCATTTTTCTCTGTTTTAACTCCTGTCCTTGAATATTGAGTTGTGATGGCCATATGATCCCCTGTGGTCTCATGAATGGATAATCTGACTTAATACATGTTTTTCTCCTTCATCGATGTTACAGGTTCATTTCATTACACATATCTGTACTGTTGTCACAATCATAATGGTCATCATTATCATCATTAGCAATAGCATCACCAAAACTTATTTTCTGTTTTTTATATATCATATAATATTTCAACAAATTATATATGATTTTAATGATGATAGTTCTAACCAAATATCAAATCAGTAAATACACACTACAAATTGTAGTCTACAATACATGTCTTAATATTAATGGACCTGTGAAGATCCGGGATAGAATACGTCTTCAGCAAACCATTCTTGCCCTAAAAGGCGACAATGCTTGTCATAGGAGGCGACTAATGGGATCGGGTGGTCAGGCTCACTGACTTGGTTGATGTCATCGTATCCCAATTGCGTGGATTGATGCTCATGATGTCAATCACTGGATTGTCAGTCCAGACTCGATTATTTAGACCGCCGTCATATAGCTGGAATATTGCTGAGTGCGGCGTTAAACAACAAACAAGCAAACAATAATATTAATGATTTTAATATTATCATTTAGTAACAGCTGAGTAGAGATGTTGTGTTTACATGATTGTATTGTGTCCCACAATGAACAACTGACTAAATACATGAATCATCGTCCTATTAAAGGAGTACGTGCTTCAGGTCCATTACTAGAGGGCACAGACCCTTGGATCCGACAGTCCACTTCCTCTCTCCTTCGCACAAACGTGGACATGAAAGCCATGAAGAACCGGTCAGCCAGTCTGGACATCAAGACTGGACACATCTACCTAAAGGACCTGGTGTGCTACTTGTCTCTGCTGGAGGCAGGGCGCCCTGAAGATAAGCTGGAGTGTGAGTACTGGGTACAGTGATCCCTCACTACAATGCTACCTTCGGGGTCCAAATAATTGTATACGGCAAGACTTTGAGACCAAAATAAAAAAATGACATCCAAAGACACCCAAAATGAGGTTGACAGACTCAATATTTTGCATGGATATTGGCCTACATTGATAACAATCTGTTGGTATGTAGTGAAGGAGGTGGTGAGGTGAAATTGGGTTTTACGTCGCGTCCAAGATTATTGCACTTAAATAGTGACGTGCATGTACGTGTGTGTGTTTGTGTGGCTGCTTGCTTGTACTAGTCCGGACTGATGCCGATTTATAGTGCTAGCTCACTGAGATACCATGCCGCAGTGTAACATGAATACCCCACTCAGACACAGTATACTGACTCCGAGCCGACCAGTCCTTGTTTTAGCCCCTTAATGCCGAGCGCCAGACAGGGTAACAACAAGTACCATCTTTTAACGTCTTTTGGTATGACGCGGCCGGGGATCGAACCCCGGACCTTCTGCTCTCCGGGCGGACGCTCTACCACTAGACCACGGAGGCAGTCTGTAGTGAAGGATGATTAGCACTATTTCTGCTGCTTGTTTTCTACCAGGGTACATTTTGATATATACAGAACAAAAAAAGTTAGCAACCATGAATATTTTGGGGGATATATTTATGAAAGTGTGGGATCAGTCTTCACTAAGAAAACTTTCGCCCAAAATATTCATGATCCCCAATGTTTTTTTGTTCAGTATGTCTTCATGTGATCTATTATTGATCAGGGATGTCAAATTGTTTTTTTTAACCTAAGCTTGTCTCTGCCAAGATACTTCCTCAGGCTGCCTGTGAATACCATGTGACTGCATTGCCATAGATATATCTAAGTTGGAAATTTCGTTTGAGGCTGGAATATGATTCATAAACATTCCCAATACCATTGTTCTCTCTTTCAATAACGTGATAAGGGGCGGTGGGGTAGCCTTGCGGTTAAAGGATTTGCTTGTCACACCGAAAGCAATGTTCGTGTACAAGCATGGAACCATACTCACTCACTCACTCACTCACTCAATAATGTGATAAAGGTGTGGTACACAGGTGTTCTTACTGTCCTTTTTCGCTGGTGATGATGTCCATGATAATAAAATATTGAACTAATTTAAAACACCTAAAATAAAGAAATGAGCTCAGTGATGTCATTCATGATTATTATTACATTATGGGCGGTCGGTCAGCCTTGTGGTTAAAGCGTTCGCTCATCATCCTGGAGACCCGGGTTTGATTCCCGACATGGGTACAATGTGTGAAGCCCATTTCTGGTGTCCCCTGCCATTTTACTCTGTCATGTTTGTATTTTTCAATTTATCACTAAAGAACTAATTAAAGTAATAAATGACGATTGGATGTAAAATGAAATATAAGGAAGTTGTTTTCATTATTGTCATGTTGTTTGCTGATGTATTAACTGTTGTTTGTTTTCTTTCAGTCATGTTTCGACTGTATGATTCCGATGGAAATGGCATATTAGATTCCAGTGTGAGTTGTGTGGATGCTTATTTTAATCTATCAATTTAGCTTGCGTTTATTGACAGAGAACAGCAAGGGTGCCTCAGTGCTTGATTTACTGTGCAGAGTTGCTCCCCTTAGCTGTGTCAGGTTCTGTTTATCACTGGTTTGAATCCAGAATCTCCATGCTGTAACCTATGGTTTGTTAGCACCGTGCTTGTGGATTAGGGCATAGTGGTAAATCTCTGTGACTAATGCCACTGTGGGTTTTTCTCTCACTTTGAACTAAGCGGTATTTAATCCAACTAACTGGTTTATAAGGACCTATGAGGGATAACAAGACAGGTAGGCCTTATTTACATTGATGAACCATTGTTTTTGACTTGCATGAAGTGTGCAATACTGGATGTACTTGCACTGATCTCTTTTAAGTAAGACTGATGTTGCACTGATCAGGTCATGACCTAGTGTCTTATGTATGCCCCACAGGTCATGACCTAGTGTCTTATGTATGCCCCACAGGTCATGACCTAGTGTCTTATGTATGCCACACAGGTCATGACTTAGTGTCTTATGTATGCCACACAGGTCATGACCTAGTTTCTGGTGCATTATTTACAGACCGCTGTCATACAGCTGGAAAACTGCTTAGTGCAACCAAACAAACAAACAAACAAACTTTAATAACGGCAGTTCACTCTATATAACTATGCACTGTTACCTAGATCCATAGACCTTCATGGTCCTGTGGTATGACTCTAACTGTGTGTTATATTTCCAGGAGCTTGACTGTATAGTGAACCAGATGATGTCGGTGGCAGAATACCTCGGCTGGGATGTGTCCGAGCTCAAACCTGTAAGTGAAGCAATGTTCATCATCCGTTGGTTGAAGGCACAATAATCTAAGGTTCACTGGGCATTAATCAAAAGAGAAACAGATACATTTTCCAAAAGTGTACAATTTAAGTAAAATATCGAAATTGTTAAAGTGTGATGTAAATGGAATGCAGTCACTCTGTGCAATGACCTGTTCACGTTATTTTGAACCTCTGTGGCCTGTTCCATTGGATTAACTCAATGTTGTCATTTACAATGTTTTTTTTATACAATCTGGGGGCGGTACGGGTAGCCTAGTGGTTAAAGCGTTCGCTCATCACGCCGAAGACCCTGGTTCGATTCCCGACATGGGTACAATGTGTAAAGCCCATTTCTGGTGTCCCCCGCCGTGATATTGCTGGAATATTGCTAAAAGCGGCGTAAAACCATACTCACTCACTCACTCACTGATACAATCTGTGTTCATCTGTTTTATTATGAAGTGAGAGGAACCTTACTTCCAATGTTGAGGTTAAAATTATAATGGCATTGTTTGAAAAAATTCCAGGTGCCTACAAGGCACACTTAGAAAACTATACTGCTCAATACTTGCTAAGTACCAAAATAGTCATTTTAGTCAGATATCCTCAGCAGATATTCAGTGGTATATTTCTTATAATTTTAACAAATCCTTGTGACAGTGTGTAATACCCGGTATTTGAAGCCACTGTTTTACTTAAATGAATGTGACAGCGTGTTTAATGCACAGCACTCTTGAGTTTTATCATTCTCCATGAAAAGGCAAACTGTTTCTGATTTACAACTGGTTTTTGTATCTAGCCTTGATGAAAGAGTGACTAGATTTTAAAGATGGAACAAAAGTATTCTTCTAGTTGAAACACTTTGCTTCCAAAAGGCACCCTAAGCATCCTTGGGAACACCTGAACATCTTTATGAGTCCCCTGGGGCACACCCAAACATCTTAATGAGTGCCCTTGGGAACACCCAAACATCTTTAAGAGAGACCTTGGGAACACCCAAACATCTTAATGAGTGCCATGGGGAACACCCAAAGATCTTAATGAGTGCCCTTGGGCACACCCAAACATCTTAATGAGTGCCCTGGGGAACACCCAAACATCTTTAAGAGTGACCTTGGGAACACCCAAACATCTTAATGAGTGACCTTGGGAACACCCAATCATCTTAATGAGTGCCCTTAGGAACACCCAAACATCTTTAAGAGTGACCTTGGGCACACCCAAACATCTTAATGAGTGCCCTTGGGAACACCCAAACATCTTTATGCGTGTCCTTGGGCACGCCCAAACATCTTAATGAGTGTCCTTGGGAACACCCAATCATCTTAATGAGTGCCCTTGGGAACACCCAAACATCTTTATGAGTGTCCTTGGGCACGCCCAAACATCTTAATGAGTGTCCTTGGGAACACCCAAACATCTTAATGAGTGCCCTGGGAAACACCCAAACATCTTTAAGAGTGACCTTGGGCACTCCCAAACATCTTTATGAGTGTCCTTGGGCACGCCCAAACATCTAAATGAGTGTCCTTGGGAACACCCAAAGATCTTAATGAGTGCCCTTGGGCACACCCAAACATCTTAATGAGTGCCCTGGGGAACACCCAAACATCTTTAAGAGTGACCTTGGGAACACCCAAACATCTTAATGAGTGACCTTGGGAACACCCAATCATCTTAATGAGTGCCCTTAGGAACACCCAAACATCTTTAAGAGTGACCTTGGGCACACCCAAACATCTTAATGAGTGCCCTTGGGAACACCCAAACATCTTTATGCGTGTCCTTGGGCACGCCCAAACATCTTAATGAGTGTCCTTGGGAACACCCAATCATCTTAATGAGTGCCCTTGGGAACACCCAAACATCTTAATGAGTGCCCTTGGGAACACCCAAACATCTTTAAGAGTGACCTTGGGCACTCCCAAACATCTTTATGAGTGTCCTTGGGCACGCCCAAACATCTAAATGAGTGTCCTTGGGAACACCCAATCATCTTAATAAGTGCCCTTGGGAACACCAAAACATCTTTAAGAGTGTCCTTGGGCACGCCCAAACATCTTAATGAGTGTCCTTGGGAACACCCAATCATCTTAATGAGTGCCCTTGGGAACATCCAATCATCTTAATGAGTGCCCTGGGGAACACCCAAACATCTTAATGAGTGCCCTTAGGAACACCCAAACATCTTTAAGAGTGACCTTGGGCACACCCAAACATCTTAATGAGTGCCCTTGGGAACACCCAAACATCTTTATGCGTGTCCTTGGGCACGCCCAAACATCTTAATGAGTGTCCTTGGGAACACCCAATCATCTTAATGAGTGCCCTTGGGAACACCCAAACATCTTAATGAGTGCCCTTGGGAACACCCAAACATCTTTAAGAGTGACCTTGGGCACTCCCAAACATCTTTATGAGTGTCCTTGGGCACGCCCAAACATCTAAATGAGTGTCCTTGGGAACACCCAATCATCTTAATAAGTGCCCTTGGGAACACCAAAACATCTTTAAGAGTGTCCTTGGGCACGCCCAAACATCTTAATGAGTGTCCTTGGGAACACCCAATCATCTTAATGAGTGCCCTTGGGAACATCCAATCATCTTAATGAGTGCCCTGGGGAACACCCAAACATCTTAATGAGTGCCCTTAGGAACACCCAAACATCTTTAAGAGTGACCTTGGGCACACCCAAACATCTTAATGAGTGCCCTTGGGAACACCCAAACATCTTTATGCGTGTCCTTGGGCACGCCCAAACATCTTAATGAGTGTCCTTGGGAACACCCAATCATCTTAATGAGTGCCCTTGGGAACACCCAAACATCTTTATGAGTGTCCTTGGGCACGCCCAAACATCTTAATGAGTGTCCTTGGGAACACCCAAACATCTTAATGAGTGCCCTTGGGAACACCCAAACATCTTTAAGAGTGACCTTGGGCACTCCCAAACATCTTTATGAGTGTCCTTGGGCACGCCCAAACATCTAAATGAGTGTCCTTGGGAACACCCAATCATCTTAATGAGTGCCCTTGGGAACACCAAAACATCTTTAAGAGTGTCCTTGGGCACGCCCAAACATCTTAATGAGTGCCCTTGGGAACACCCAATCATCTTAATGAGTGCCCTTGGGAACACCCAAACATCTTTAAGAGTGACCTTGGGCACGCCCAAACATCTTAATGAGTGCCCTTGGGCACACCCAAACATCTTAAAGAGTGCCCTGGGGAACACCCAAACATCTTAATGACTGTCCTTGGGAACACCCAAACATCTTAATGAGTGCCCTTGGGAACATCCAATCATCTTAATGAGTGCCCTGGGGAACACCCAAACATCTTAATGAGTGCCCTTAGGAACACCAAATCATCTTTAAGAGTGACCTTGGGCACACCCAAACATCTTAATGAGTGCCCTTGGGAACACCCAAACATCTTTATGCGTGTCCTTGGGCACGCCCAAACATCTTAATGAGTGTCCTTGGGAACACCCAATCATCTTAATGAGTGCCCTTGGGAACACCCAAACATCTTTATGAGTGTCCTTGGGCACGCCCAAACATCTTAATGAGTGCCCTGGGGAACACCCAAACATCTTAATGACTGTCCTTGGGAACACCCAATCGTCTTTATGAGTGTCCTTGGGAACACCCAAACATCTTAATGAGTGCCCTGGGGCACACCCAAACATCTTAATGAGTGCCCTTGGGAACACCCAAACATCTTTAAGAGTGACCTTGGGCACACCCAAACATCTTAATGAGTGTCCTTGGGAACACCCAATCATCTTAATGAGTGCCCTTGGGAACACCCAAACATCTTTATGAGTGTCCTTGGGCACGCCCAAACATCTTAATGAGTATCCTTGGGAACACCCAATCATCTTAATGAGGGCCCTTGGGAACACCAAAACATCTTTAAGAGTGTCCTTGGGCACGCCCAAACATCTTAATGAGTGTCCTTGGGAACACCCAATCATCTTAATGAGTGCCCTTGGGAACACCCAAACATCTTTAAGAGTGACCTTGGGCACGCCCAAACATCTTAATGAGTGCCCTTGGGAACACCCAATCATCTTAATGAGTGCCCTTGGGAACACCCAAACATCTTTAAGAGTGACCTTGGGCACGCCCAAACATCTTAATGAGTGCCCTTGGGCACACCCAAACATCTTAAAGAGTGCCCTGGGGAACACCCAAACATCTTAATGACTGTCCTTGGGAACACCCAAACATCTTAAAGAGTGCCCTTGGGAACACCCAAACATCTTAATGAGTGCCCTTGGGAACACCCAAACATCTTAATGAGTGCCCCTGGGAACACCCAAACATCTTAATGAGTGCCCCTGGGAACACCCAATCATCTTAATGAGTGCCCTTGGGAACACCCAAACATCTTTCAGAGTGACCTTGGGCACGCCCAAACATCTTAATGAGTGCCCTTGGGAACACCCAATCATCTTAATGAGTGCCCTTGGGAACACCCAAACATCTTTAAGAGTGACCTTGGGCACGCCCAAACATCTTAATGAGTGCCCTTGGGCACACCCAAACATCTTAAAGAGTGACCTGGGGAACACCCAAACATCTTAATGACTGTCCTTAGGAACACCCAAACATCTTAAAGAGTGCCCTTGGGAACACCCAAACATCTTAATGAGTGCCCTTGGGAACACCCAAACATCTTAATGAGTGCCCCTGGGAACACCCAAACATCTTAATGAGTGCCCCTGGGAACACCCAAACATCTTAATGAGTGCCCTTGGGCACACCCACACATCTTAATGAGTGCCCTTGGGAACACCCAAACATCTTAATGAGTGCCCTGGGGCACACCCAAACATCTTAATGAGTGCCCTTCGGAACACCCAAACATCTTAATGAGTGCCCTTGGGAACACCCAAACATCTTAATGAGTGCTCTGGGGAACACCCAAACATCTTAATGAGTGCCCTGGGGATCACCCAAACATCTTTAAGAGTGACCTTGGGAACACCCAAACATCTTAATGAGTGCCCTGGGAAACACCCAAACATCTTTAAGAGTGACCTGGGGCACACCCAAACATCTAAATGAGTGCCCTGGGGCACACCCAAACATCTAAATGAGTGCCCTGGGGCACACCCAAACATCTTAAAGAGTGCCCTGGGGAACACCCAAACATCTTAATGAGTGCCCTTGGGAACACCCAAACATCTTAATGAGTGCCCTTGGGGCACACCCAAACATCTTAATGAGTGCCCTGGGAAACACCCAAACATCTTTAAGAGTGACCTGGGGCACACCCAAACATCTTAATGAGTGCCCTGGGGCACACCCAAACATCTTAATGAGTGCCCTTGGGAACACCCAAACATCTTAATGAGTGCCCTTGGGAACACCCAAACATCTTAAATAGAGCCCTTGGGAACACCCAAACATCTTAATGAGTGCCCTTGGGCACACCCAAACATCTTAATGAGTGCCCACGGAAACACCCAAACATCTTTAAGAGTGACCTGGGGCACACCCAAACATCTTAATGAGTGCCCTTCGGAACACCCAAACATCTTAATGAGTGCCCTGGGGAACACCCAAACATCTTAATGAGTGCCCTTGGGAACACCCAAACATCTTAATGAGTGCCCTGGGGCACACCCAAACATCTTAATGAGTGCCCTGGGAAACACCCAAACATCTTTAAGAATTACCTTGGGCACACCCAAACATCTTAATGAGTGCCCTGGGGCACACCCAAACATCTTAATGAGTGCCCTTGGGAACACCCAAACATCTTAATGAGTGCCCTTGGGAACACCCAAACATCTTAAAGAGAGCCCTTGGGAACACCCAAACATCTTAATGAGTGCCCTGGGAAACACCCAAACATCTTTAAGAGTGACCTGGGGCACACCCAAACATCTTAATGAGTGCCCTTCGGAACACCCAAACATCTTAATGAGTGCCCTGGGGCACACCCAAACATCTTAATGAGTGTCCTTGGGAACACCCAAACATCTTCACAAGTGCACCATGGCACAATTCTTCTCGGGATGACCACACCTGAGTATTTTTTCTTGTGTCTTGTGTTCTTATTGAATGTATGTTTGTCTACAGATTCTGCAGGACATGATGATAGAGATAGACTATGATGCTGATGGAACAGTGTCACTGGAAGAATGGAAGAAAGGAGGAATGACGACCATTCCCCTGCTTGTTTTGTTAGGCTTAGATACAGTAAGTACTGCAGTGTGTGGGGGTGGCCTTGTGGTTAAGGTTGGGTTTGTCATGCGAAGGACTGGGGTTCAGTTCCCTACATCGTTACAATGTGTGAACTCATTCACTCACTCACAACCTTAGGTTCTTGCAGATTAGGGGTTCCTAGATATAAGACTCTGTGACCTAGTGGATAGAAGGTCTAGTAGATAGAGGGTCTAGTGGATAGAAGGTCTAGTAGATAGAGGGTCTAGTGGATAGAAGGTCTAGTAGATAGTGGGTCTAGTGGATAGAAGATCTAGTGGATAGAGGGTCTAGTGGATAGAAGGTCTAGTGGATAGAGGGTCTAGTGGATAGAAGGTCTAGTGGATAGAAGGTCTAGTGGATAGAAGGTCTAGTTGATAGTGGGTCTACTGAATAGAGTGTCGAGTGGATATAGGGTCTGTCAGGCCAGCTAAGGTTGTTGGTTCGATCCCTGGCCGCGTCATACCAAAAGACGTTAAAAGATGGTGCTTGTTGTTCCCCTTAGTCCAGAATAGTACAAGCAGCCACACACGTCACTATATAAATGCAATAATCTTGAACGCCTCACCTCCTCACCTCCTAGAAATCAGAATGGCTCCTAGACATTTATGAAAGGAAACACATTTAACTAGGTCCATCGGTATATATGGTATAAGCAGTCAGCTTAATGACACAGCAAACCATTCCGAAAATGTTACGCTAAATTTTCTTTCAAAATTGTTTGGAAAGCTTGATAAATTCTTGTGATGTAGTTAATAAACACAGTATCTATATGTTTAAAATACAAGAAAAGCAGAACCATGAGCTGTCAGAAATGTATTGAACCCAATCTCACTCAGTACAATTGTGTTTCAGAATGTTCAAGATGATGGCACGCACGTTTGGAGACTGAAGCACTTCAACCGGCCTGCCTACTGTAATCTGTGTCTCAACCTGCTGGTGGGGCTGGGCAAGCAAGGGCTCTGTTGTACATGTGAGTACCTCCTTAGTCCTATATGGCAGAGTTGCTTCCCTTGACCATGACAGGATCCTCTGACAGTTCAAATCACAGATGATTACCAGTAAGGTGTGGGGATCCTCTGATTGTGGCCATGGGGACGTTGCTGGAATGTTGTTGAAAGGGCAGCAAAACCTCGCTCGCTCACTCACTCAAAAGTTGGTGTTCATCATATAGATCTGTTGCATAATGCGTGTAAAAATTGTTAGAAATTTCAAGAAAGAGCACAGGAACAGATGAATGACTCATGATTTTGTTTTATTTATTATCTTTCTGTTTTCCGTACTTGATAATTTGAGGTGGAGGAGAAGATATTCCTGCTCTATTTCCACAGCTTCTTAGTTTAATTTGTTTGTTTGTTTGTTTGTTTGTTGTTTAACGCCGCACTCAGCAATATTCCAGCTATATGACAGCAGTCGGAAATAATTGAGCATGGATCCACACAATTAGGATACGAGAATGACCACCCGATCCCGTTACTCCCCTCTTACGACAAGCATAGTTGCCGTTTATGGCAATCATGGGTTGCTGAAGACTTATTCTTCCCCGGATCTTCATGGGTCTCTTAGTTTAAGGGAAAATGGGGAACACATGTATTAAGTGTGTCTTTCACGTCAAACATTTCACCATTGTTGCACGATAAGCGAAACACATTAATGTTGTCCTTAGTTGTGATAGTGCTGCAAAATGGCTAAACGTTGCATAAAACTCAGTTCAACTGTTTCGTCACAGTCTGTTAAATCTATACATTTTGTTCTTCAGTTTGTAAATACACGGTGCACGAGAGGTGTGTGCAGAGGGCGCCAGCGTCATGCATTACTACGTATGTCAAGTCAAAGAAGACCTCACAGGTAAACACAGCATGAGCCTCTATTGCTCTGTCTCTATGTAAGGACAGCAGGACGTGCATATACGGAAAGGGAATTCTAGGGGTGTAGCTTGTTCAGTGAAGCTTTTGTGTTATTAGGTAGCTACGTCTCATTCATTTATGTAGTGTGGATAATGTTATATGCAACCAAAGACAGACCCAATAGACAAATATGCAGGTCCAGTAGACACATATGCTGATCCAGTAGACAAATATGCAGGTCCAGTAGACAAATATACTGATCCAGTAGACAAAAATGCTGGTCCAGTAGACAATTATGCAGGTCCAGTAGACAAATATGCAGGTCCAGTAGACAAATATGCTGATCCAGTAGACAAATATGCAGGTCCAGTAAACAAATATACTGATCCAGTAGACAAATATGCTGGTCCAGTAGACAATTATGCAGGTCCAGTAGACAAATATGCAGATCCAGTAGACAATTATGCAGGTCCAGTAGGCAAATATGCTGATCCAGTAGACAAATATGCAGGTCCAGTACGCAAATATGCTGATCCAGTCGACAAATATACTGATCCAGTAGACAATTATGCAGGTCCAGTACGCAAATATGCTGATCCAGTAGACAAATATGCAGGTCTAGTAGACAAATATACTGATCCAGTAGACAAATATACTGATCTAGTAGACAATTATGCAGGTCCAGTAGACAAACATGCAGATCCAGTAGACAAATATGCAGGTACAGTAACTTGACCAGATTGAAGTTGTCCAACTGACTAGTAGAATATCTTGGATATCATTCTCTCCTGCAGAACAAATGTACATAAATTGGGTTATATTTTTGTATAAAGAAACACTTTATAAATCAATATTTTGTAGTATTTCTGGCCAGCTTTTTTTATTTTTTGTGGCACTTTTCCAGACATCTGCCTCAGTAAGATATGTGTGTCAAATGCTGATGATGTATACTGTGTATGTGGATGTTCTTCAGACGATGAACCACCACTGGGTTGAGGGCAACTGTGTCGGCAAGTGTGACAAGTGTCGCAAGTCAATCAAATCTTACAATGGAGTCACGGGGCTTCATTGCCGGTGGTGTCATCTCACGGTAAGATCTCTGAACTCTTGGATTCCAGGTAACCCTTGCTGTACATCAGGAAGAACTCCGGGAAGTATATATATGATCGTAAGAGACTAAGGGAGGAGGCAGTGATACACCGGTACACTACCTTGCAAACAGGACAAGTGACAGTACGCTACCTTGTAAAACACAGAGGATGAGTGACAGTACAATACCTTGTGAAACAACATTCACCCACTCCTGACCCACTTCTGACCCACTCTTGATACTTCTGACACTTCTGACTCACTTCTGACCCACTTTTGACCCACTTCTCGTGACAGACTTCTGACACACTCATGACCCACTCGTGACAGACTTGTGAGCCACTTTAAACCCCACTCATGACCCACTTCAGACCACTCATGACCCACTTCTGACCCACTCATGACCCACTTCTGACTCACTCGGGACAGACTTGTGACCCACTTTAAACCCACTCATGACCCACTCGTGACAGACTTGTGACCCACTTTAAACCCACTCATGACCCACATCTGACCCACTCATGACCCACTGGTGTGTCTGGTCCATTACTTCTATTCGATTCTGATATTGTCACATTGTCTTTGGCATTAAGCCCCTCTCATTCACTCACGACAAGTGTAAGCATGACCAATATGAGACAGCAGGAAGTTAGCATATGGTAGACAATAGAGCCACAATAACAAAGACTCTGTCCACTTGACTCAGTCATCACCTTCCTAAAGTTACCAGTCCACAACCAATGCATGGTCTGTTTCAGCTTCACAACAAGTGTGCGTCCCAGATGAAGCCAGAATGCGACATGGGAGACTACCGCGACCACATGTTACCTCCAACCACCGTCTGCCCAGCTGTGCTGGTGAGTAACGCTGTCTACCAAGATTTTTTTCAAATAAGATGCATTTTATGATCAAAAGTTAACAATCACGGTCATCCCTAAAACTTCCAAATGTATAAATGGTCCGTAAGCTGCAAGGAGAGGTGTGACTCCCATCCCTCTGGATCGTCACAGCTGGGAAATCTTTCCGGCATTACTGTTATTTTGACTTGGTGTCAGATTTTTTTCATGTTTTGAAGCTTTCAAGCTGATTTGATAGGTTTTTTTAAAGAAAATAAATTCTGATAGACCTATATGTGGCCAGTGTATGTGGTAGAATATATGGTAGAATTAAATAGCATATAGGATTATTATATGAAAGCTCCCATGAAATTCCTGAACAGATGTCATTTATAGGGTGATGTGGGAACATGAATGATTAATTGAACCATCAGTGTAAGAAATAATGCAAGTGTATAATATACCATTGAACTGTCAACAGTGAAAGTTCAATTGTAGTCTAGGGGAGATAATTCATGACAATTATCTCCCCTTGCATGTCTTGACCAGGGTGGTTTTGACATTAAATGGAGCTGTTAGGGTCTCCTGTATGCCACAAATACACTCTAACATGACAAAAAACTGAGTCTATTTTCACAATGCACAAAAGTTATTTTAGTTTGGGTGTCACGTAAAATCTGTTGCATGTGCCTCAGGTTCAGTCGCGGATGCAATGTGTAGTTCGATTTTGGTTTGGGTACATTATCTGTACAAAAAGGTACTGGGTACTGGGTACAGCTTACATTGAATCTTGTTTTTAGTATTAGAAAGAATTTTCATTTGTGATATGGTACTCTGTGTTTTTCAAGCATGCATGTGGGCAAAGCATGGGCCGTAATTTTGTTTTTTAGCAAAAGCTTCTTATGATTTGGGTTTTAATTGCATGCTGCTGATTGATAGCAGCTTTTGTGCTTCGCACACGAATACAATGATACATGTATTTATGTGATCTTTAACATGTCCATTAGAATGCATGTTTTTTGTGTTTTTTTTCACACTTTCCAAATAAGGGAAATATTTCAAATTAGGAGGGGAAATGATTATACAGAGGGGAAATAATTATGCAGGCCAGATCAGTCCTTTTTTAAAGTTTCCCAGTGGAGGTATTTCATGATGCACAAGGAAATAAGACATTTAGAATTTTTATGATGAATTATTTGACTTTAGGTCCGTTACAAAACGATGATCGGATTAAAAAACAAAACAGGATATATTTGTGAAAATGCATGTTTATTCTACTTCCGGATAAAAGTTTCAGTGAAGCTGAAATGAAACTATAGCTGCATACGGTTTTGAAATAAGTATGATTTCATCCTAGCACAGAATATTTATTATTAGGTATATGTTATATCTTTAATGATACTAGAAAGATAAGGCTTTGTAGGTATTCATTGAAGAGCTTGGAAATAGTTTATATTGTGGGGACAGACGTTCTCTCAGGCATACCAATTAGGTGGTGATTTCAAGGGCTGAGATGGGAGATTAGCCTGTACCCCAAGTCTGCCAATACCCTGAAATAAACAGAATAGTTTCATGGTGTTTAGGGGATAATTAGTGGGCATAGTGATATATGTCCATATGTCGACTGATCCCTTAAGAAATTGTCAGTGCAAGGGTGGATCCAGCATTTTTAAAAAGGAGGGTCCAAAATATCAAAACCCTCTCTGTGTGTCAATTTTACTGCCTACAACATACTGCATTTGGTTTTCAAAAGGGGTGTTGGTCCTGACCCCCTGGATCCTCCCTTCTGGATCAACCCATCTGGATCCGCCTATGCAGGCCCTACATTTTTGTATTGCTTGATTTAGGGATACGCACACCTAAAACATTGACAATTTAGAAGATAAAACAATATCAGAAAGACAAGGGTTTTTTATGGACCGTCAACGGTAAAGATCGCTTTGAAAATAAAAGTAATCCATACAATTTTTAGGACAAAATAAATATTTCGAATAATAAATAGTCATCACAAGTCAGATGTTATTTTTATTAAATTTATACAGACCCAAACCAGGCCCGGATTATATTTTTTGGGCACTTTCCAATCCAAATCAAACTTTAAAATGCTCTAACAAAATCTGCAGAATGCATTTATATATGTTTGGTTAAACTACTGACCAAATGTTTCACTTTCAAAATTTGTAACGCTCTCAAGGTCTGGCCTAATCTGTTGTGTGTTTAGTTAGTGTTGTCTCGTTATGCATGACTTTCACATTTTCAGTTTGTTTTGTGTTGATGTAGAAATATTTTGACACCCATCCACATCACAATCCTCATGTGAGTATGAAAGATGGCCTTACTAACACATGAGTGCTCCATTAACCTGCTGTTCTTACAGACACCTGTCTTCAGAACAAGGCTTAATTATCATTACTGATGTTTCTATTTTGACTATTTTCTTTGTTTCTTTTTAAAGTACATGTAGAACTGTGTTAATCCAGAGAGACCAGTTTTCATTATGTTCTACATGTGGGGATTCTTGTGTAGAATAAATCTCAGATATCCCATGCTTGTTTTGCCATTTGGATCCTGGGTTGGCACAGACATCCAGTTTACCAAATGATTGTCATAAGGCGACTAAACTGATGGGGTGAGGTGAATGGAATGGACAGACAATTCCCCGTCCCAAGCCCCTAAGAGATATCAATATCACAACTACCGTATTCGACGTAATAAGCGATATTTGCTGATATATTGGCTAGTGAACAATCCCAATAAGCACTCCTTCCGATTGATCAATGTACACAAGACTTATTTATTTGCGTATAATACGCACTCTTGTGTTATATGCATTCTTAATTATGGGCAAATAAATTCTGGAAAAATTTATCTGTCACATATAAACATTTCAGTGTGTCAGCATAAACCACAAACTTTATCTTTCAACTCTCTTTTTTCCACCAAAATAATATTCTAATGAGAGCCTCTAATTTCTAATTTTGAGAGCGCCCTGGGCGAATTATTACGTCGAATACGGTAGTTTATTTAATCTACAGGCAATAGCTCATCAGGATTCTTTTCATCACAATTGTCATAATACAATTCAGAAAGAGTACTCATCATCGAAGTTCATGTGTTCTGCTTAAATACTCACACTTCCTCAAATAGGTTATTTTATCTTTAAGTTAATTTTTCCTTTGAGAATCCTCTGCATTTTCTGTTAAGGGTACAAGATACATTACAGTGATTCCTTCGTTTCCGTAGTGTTGTCCACAGTGGAACAACTAGCTCAGGGATCTTAGGTGTTGTGGCTATACAGAGTTGCCTCCCTTTGATGCCCTGGATGAGTTGGTTGTGTGTTGAGGTTTAATACGTATGACCTGTAAGCACCATCCCATGTTCAAGTATTTCAAGTAATGAACATCTAAAATTACATTAGATTGAGCTTTGCCACTTTAATCTGACATGCTGTGACATAACTGAAATATGCTCGAGTGTCCAACCCATATTCCTCACCAGCTTCTGACTAACATGGCCGCTGCAGCTTTAGCTCATGCTTGGATGACTTGCTGTGTATCAGTACACTTGTGCATTGTGCACGATATATCTACTGATTGATTCAAAGTGGACACAATTTATGGATAACAACTTCTTGAATATGCTATGATAGCAACGTTTCGCTATTATAAATTTTTGGCAGGACCACGAGGGGTTCATGGGGTTTTATGCGTGCCACGTTAGGTTTTATACTACGAACCTAACTAGGAACGCATGAAATCCCATGTACCCCTAGTGATCCTGCTACAATGAATTTACCTTACCAACATGTTTTAATATGACATTGTAAAAGAATTCAAACAAATTCAAAATTGATCAGCTGTCCGATTGTGCTGAGGTTAGCTTGTCACATGACCTCCATTTCCTTGGAAAAAGCGTACATCTTTTTGCTTTGAAGCGGGGTATAAGGGTTGTATTCTGCCTCTCAGAAATCTATGTGCAGCCTGCTTTGCTTGTGGCAGGTATAAGAGATTTATTCCCCTGCTGAAAAATTTATTCCTCTCTAAGGCGCGTTACACAGTATTTTATCAAGGTCACGTGGACCAATCAGATCTCATCATTCTGACGTGGAGGTATGATAAAGATCCTTATACCGTTTTCAAACAAGACTGACTGTTTTAAGCATGGTACATAATCTTGTGTTAATCTCTTTCATGTATGTAAATTGTTGGTGTTGTTGATCCTTCACCAACCATATAAGATTTTGTACCAGGCTCAGATTATTCAGACTTGCTCAACAACGGATCTATGCCGAATATCGCTATGATAGTGTATTAAAGATGTTGTTTTCCATAATTTGTGTCTACTTTGTCATCCATCAACTTCTAAGAAATGCCTATCAAACAATTCATACTGATTGATAGCCGTGAAGTAGTGTCTTCTAGATGCTACATTATAGAGACTTCTATGACTATTTGCCACTAATGTTGATGTACGACATCGGCCATCTTCCTTATCTACCACTAACAGCCATTTTGGATTTTTTCTCTTTGTATGATTTATATTTTATATTCTTTCACTTTCTACATTTAACACTTGTGTGTCATGAATCTGACATTTGAGAGTGGGAGGAATCGTCTGTGGACATGGTTGTCATGGATGTTCAATAGTGTTCACATGCCTTCACGCGTGTTCACATGCACTAAGTGTGTTTGAGCAAGAGACGATAAATTTAAAGTCTTGAGTTTTCATAGTCTTTAATATTTCTATTTGTTGTTACTCTAACAAAGTGAATATTTTTATCAAAAACATTATATGCTTTTTCTCAATTCAGCTGGATTTTCTTTAATTTCAGTGAAATATGTTTATAACGAACACGCTTATAACCAACTGATGGATATAACAAACTGTTTTGGGGTCATGTCCATTTGCTGTATACATGGTATATGTGCTGTATCCATGCTTATAACGAAATACGGGGCGGTCGGGTAGCCTAGTGGTTAAAGCGTTCGCTCGTCACGCCGAAGACCCGGGTTCGATTCCCGACATGGGTACAATGTGTGAAGCCCATTTCTGGTGTCCCCCGCCGTGATATTGCTGGAATATTGCTAAAAGCGGCGTAAAACCATACTCACTCACTCACTATAACGAAATACGGTTATAACGAACTAAATTTAGTGGTCCCTTTGAGTTCATTATAACCGTAGTATAGTAAATGTTACAATATTAGGAATGTTATTGATTAGGACTACAACATTAATGTATTGCTAAGTGTTAAGTTTGGGTAGGGCATTTTTATTTCCTCATCAGGAAGGGGAGGTGGGGTAGCCTATAGCGTTTGCTCATCAAGCCAAAGACCCGAGTTCGATTCCCGAAGTGGGTACAATGTATGAAGCCCATTTCTGGTGTCCCATGATATTGCTGATATATTGTTTAAAGCGACGTAAAACCACTCACTCACATATGTGGCTGTTTTATTAATATATGCTCATACATGACTGTTTTATTAATATATGCTCATACATGACTGTTTTATTAATATATGCTCATACATGACTGTTTTATTAATATAGGCTGAGGCATCTGTACGGGAGACGTGGTATTATGGCCTACATCAGCACTTCCAGACTCACTCACCCACCCTGTCTGTCTTAACAGTTGGCTCGATGCCACATATATATATATACTACCTAGCTCCCCTCAGCCATGTTGGTTATACCACCTAGCTCCCCTCAGCCATGTTGGAGGTTATACCACCAAGCTCCCCTCAGCCATGTTGGAGGTTATACCACCTAGCTCCCCTCAGCCATGTTGGAGGTCATACCACCTAGATCCCCTCAGCCATGTTGGAGGTTATACCACCTAGCTCCCCTCAGCCATGTTGGAGGTTATACCACCAAGCTCCCCTCTGCCATGTTGGAGGTTATACCAGTTAGCTCCCCTCAGCCATGTTGGAGGTTATACCACCTAGCTCCCCTCTGCCATGTTGGAGGTTATACCACCAAGCTCCCCTCAGCCATGTTGGAGGTTATACCACCTAGCTCCCCTCAGCCATGTTGGAGGTTATACCACCTAGCTCCCCTCAGCCATGTTGGAGGTTATACCACCAAGCTCCCCTCAGCCATGTTGGAGGTTATACCACCTAGCTCCCCTCAGCCATGTTGGAGGTTATACCACCTAGATCCCCTCAGCCATGTTGGAGGTTATACCACCTAGCTCCCCTCAGCCATGTTGGAGGTTATACCACCTAGCTCCCCTCTGCCATGTTGGAGGTTATACCACCTAGCTCCCCTCAGCCATGTTGGAGGTTATACCACCTAGATCCCCTCAGCAATAATGAAGGTTATACCACCAAGCTCCCCTCTGCCATGTTGGAGGTTATACCACCTAGCTCCCCTCAGCCATGTTGGAGGTTATACCACCAAGCTCCCCACAGCCATAATGAAGGTTATACCAGTTAGCTCCCCTCAGCCATAATGGAGGTTATACCACCAAGCTTCCCTCTGCCATGTTGGAGGTTATACCACCTAGCTCCCCTCAGCCATGTTGGAGGTTATACCAGTTAGCTCCCCTCAACCATGTTGGAGGTTATACCACCAAGCTCCCCTCAACCATAATGGAGGTTATACCACCAAGCTTTCCTCTGCCATGTTGGAGGTTATACCACCAAGCTCCCCTCTGCCATGTTGGAGGTTATACCACCTAGCTCCCCTCTGCCATGTTGGAGGTTATACCACCTAGCTCCCCTCTGCCATGTTGGAGGTTATACCACCTAGCTCCCCTCTGCCATGTTGGAGGTTATACCACCTAGCTCCCCTCTGCCATGTTGGAGGTTATACCACCAAGCTCCCCTCAGCCATGTTGAAGGTTATACCACCTAGCTCCCCTCAGCCATGTTGGAGGTTATACCACCAAGCTCCCCTCAGCAATAATGAAGGTGATACCACCAAGCTCCCCTCAGCCATGTTGGAGGTTATACCACCTAGCTCCCCTCAGCCATGTTGGAGGTTATACCACCTAGCTCCCCTCAGCCATGTTGGAGGTTATACCACCTAGCTCCCCTCAGCCATGTTGAAGGTTATACCACCTAGCTCCCCTCAGCCATGTTGGAGGTTATACCACCAAGCTCCCCTCAGCAATAATGAAGGTTATAGCACCAAGCTCCCCTCAGCCATGTTGGAGGTTATACCACCTAGCTCCCCTCAGCCATGTTGGAGGTTATACCACCAAGCTCCCCTCAACCATGTTGGAGGTTATACCACCTAGCTCCCCTCAGCCATGTTGGAGGTTATACCACCTAGATCCCCTCAGCCATGTTGGAGGTTATACCACCTAGATCCCCTCAGCCATGTTGGAGGTTATACCGCCTAGATCCCCTCAGCCATGTTGGAGGTTATACCACCTAGATCCCCTCAGCCATGTTGAAGGTTATACCACCAAGCTCCCCTCAGCCATGTTGGAGGTTATACCACCTAGCTCCCCTCAGCCATGTTGGAGGTTATACCACCTAGCTCCCCTCAGCCATGTTGGAGGTTATACCACCTAGATCCCCTCAGCCATGTTGGAGGTTATACCGCCTAGATCCCCTCAGCCATGTTGGAGGTTATACCACCTAGATCCCCTCAGCCATGTTGGAGGTTATACCACCAAGCTTCCCTCTGCCATGTTGGAGGTTATACCACCTAGATCCCCTCAGCCATGTTGGAGGTTATACCACCTAGATCCCCTCAGCCATGTTGGAGGTTATACCACCTAGCTCCCCTCTGCCATGTTGGAGGTTATACCACCTAGCTCCCCTCTGCCATGTTGGAGGTTATACCACCTAGCTCCCCTCAGCCATGTTGAAGGTTATACCACCTAGCTCCCCTCAGCCATGTTGGAGGTTATACCACCTAGCTCCCCTCAGCCATGTTGGAGGTTATACCACCTAGATCCCCTCAGCCATGTTGGAGGTTATACCGCCTAGATCCCCTCAGCCATGATGGAGGTTATACCACCTAGATCCCCTCAGCCATGTTGGAGGTTATACCACCTAGCTCCCCTCAGCCATGTTGGAGGTTATACCGCCTAGCTCCCCTCAGCCATGTTGGAGGTTATACCACCTAGCTCCCCTCTGCCATGTTGGAGGTTATACCACCTAGATCCCCTCAGCCATGTTGGAGGTTATACCACCAAGCTCCCCTCAGCCATGTTGGAGGTTATACCACCTAGATCCCCTCAGCCATGTTGGAGGTTATACCACCTAGCTCCCCTCAGCCATGTTGGAGGTTATACCACCTAGATCCCCTCAGCTATGTTGGAGGTTATACCACCTAGATCCCCTCAGCCATGTTGGAGGTTATACCGCCTAGATCCCCTCAGCCATGTTGGAGGATATACCACCAAGCTCCCCTCAGCCATGTTGGAGGTTATACCACCTAGCTCCCCTCAGCCATGTTGGAGGTTATACCACCTAGATCCCCTCAGCTATGTTGGAGGTTATACCGCCTAGATCCCCTCAGCCATGTTGGAGGTTATACCGCCTAGATCCCCTCAGCCATGTTGGAGGTTATACATCCAAGCTCCCCTCAGCCATGTTGGAGGTTATACCACCAAGCTCCCCTCTGCCATGTTGGAGGTTATACCACCTAGATCCCCTCAGCCATGTTGGAGGTTATACCACCTAGCTCCCCTCAGCCATGTTGGAGGTTATACCACCTAGCTCCCCTCAGCTATGTTGGAGGTTATACCGCCTAGATCCCCTCAGCCATGTTGGAGGTTATACCGCCTAGATCCCCTCAGCCATGTTGGAGGATATACCACCAAGCTCCCCTCAGCCATGTTGGAGGTTATACATCCAAGCTCCCCTCAGCCATGTTGGAGGTTATACCACCAAGCTCCCCTCTGCCATGTTGGAGGTTATACCACCTAGATCCCCTCAGCCATGTTGGAGGTTATACCACCTAGCTCCCCTCAGCCATGTTGGAGGTTATACCACCAAGCTACCCTCTGCCATGTTGGAGGTTATACCACCTAGATCCCCTCAGCCATGTTGGAGGTTATACCACCAAGCTCCCCTCTGCCATGTTGGAGGTTATACCACCTAGATCCCCTCAGCCATGTTGGAGGTTATACCACCAAGCTCCCCTCAGCCATGTTGGAGGTTATACCACCTAGATCCCCTCAGCCATGTTGGAGGTTATACCACCTAGCTCCCCTCTGCCATGTTGGAGGTTATACCACCTAGTTCCCCTCAGCCATGTTGGAGGTTAGACTTTGTCCCCAGCAACATGTGTTGGTCATTAGAGGCACAATACAACATCAAGGTGACACAATACTGCATAATCAGTGTTGAAATACAGTTAAAGTTGCAGTAAAAATAAGTAAATAAGTAAAGGCAAATACATTAACCACAAATCAGCTGCACAGAAATTTCATGCAATATGTTCGTAATGCATGAGAATCTTTAACTTCATGCATCGGTGTCCCTGCTGCATTTGAAGTACTGCACATGCATTTTGTGCAATGTATTTTTTGAAGCCAGTATTTTGTTTTGCACTTGCTTAGAATTAATGCATGAGATTAAAATTTGCATTTCAGAAAGTGAGTCAGTAAACTCTGAATTTGTCATAGATAATCTGTAGTTGAAACAATAATGACGGCATAGCTGTATTTTAATTCTCATTATGAGTGACTTGTGTGGATATGACAGCATCTGTGGCATATCAGCATGATGACCAGGTCAGTTTCATGCAGCTGGGTAGTTTTGCTAACATCACTATAGCAACCCTGTCCTCTCCCTGCATTTGAAGCATCTTTCACAGTGCATGTGTGGACATTCATTTATTGTCCCAGACTGGCTTCCACAGGAGATATCAATTGGGTGAGATGAAGCAATATCACCTGATAGATATTGCTACAATGAAATTGCAACACATTGCTTTGCAGACCGTTGTGACGTCACAATCAAATGACATCACTAATCTCTCTGAAGCTGGTTCGCTTTTCTTATTACATGGATGAACCAGGTTATAAGAGTATGACTGAAAAAGTTTGAAGAATGATTTTGGATGACGAATAGAATTTCACCCTTGTGTCTTCGAATTTCAAATGTATCAAGACATGTTGATCCATGGAAACTATGCTCTGCAAGCCTCAGATATCTTTTACTTTTGTCAACTCGTCTTCTTATATTTGATGTCAAAATCACTGGTGATTATGTATGTAATATGTGCCGACCCAACTACAAACCCACCTGGTGGCCATGTTGTTTCAGGATCGGCCCCGGCCAGGCAAGACGACGCCCTCCAACCGTGAGAGTCAGAGTCTGACGCAGCTGGACGGGATCAGTACGGATGGGGAGGAACTAAGTGGGGGCGACCTGAGCGGTGAACAAAGCCCCAGTCAGCCATGTCTTGATATGCTACCCTCTCCAGCACCAGGCCCTGCAGTGAGTACACCATCGGGGACCAGTCCTTCTGTGGTAGGCCTGGGACGAGTCCAGATTTACTACCCGAGTACCCACTCCGCTATTACCTGACCCTACCCGGGTACTGGCTGTAGGTGTCAAGAGATAGGTACAAAATGTCCGACTGGAATTAGTTTGACAAAATGTGTTTAGATACACATAAAAAACGATCTGATTATGCAAACGCTGAAGTTGACTGAAGTTTTATCTTAATTCAAACAAATAAAAGTTAGAAGGAATGGTGCATAGTCAGTAAGAAATGTGAACATTTGTGACTTGTAGTGTTACCATAGAGTTCTAGAACATTTTGTCATTAAACATCACATGACTAACCACAGGTCCGGTTAGTCCTGTGGGTACCTGGGTCCTTCTCAGTACCCACCTGACCTGAGTACCCGAGTTACCAAAAATGCTTTTTTTTAATTATTATTATTATTATTGTTTTCTTAAGTTGAGAAAAGTTATATTTTCATTGCAGTGAACATAACACTCGTCAAAATATCTTCTTTCCCCCGTTACCCGATGAGGTGAGGTGAAATGGGGTTTAACGTCGTGTCCAAGATTATTGCACTTATATAGTGACGTGCATGTACGTGTGTGTGTTTGTGTGGCTGCTTGTACTAGTCCGGACTGATGTTGATTTATAGTGCTAGCTCACTGAGATACCATGCCGCAGTTTAACATGAATACCCCACTCAGACACAGTATACTGACTCCGAGCCGACCAGTCCTTGTTTTAGCCCCTTAATGCCGAGCGCAAGACAGGGTAACAACAAGTACCATCTTTTAATGTCTTTTGGTATGACGCGGCCGGGGATCGAACCCCGGACCTTCCACTCTCAAGGCGGACGCTCTACCACTAGACCACGGAGGCGGTCTACCCGATGAGAGAAACATGATATTTCACACGAAACATGAAATATCCTCTATGTACTTCAAGGGGGCAGCTTTAAGTTGTTGACACAATGACCCACCGTACCAAGACATGGGTTATATGGGTGCAGTCTGTTTCTGGTGTGTGCCAGTTTAGATATTTCACGAACAGTGTTAAGCACAGGATAAAACCCCTATTCACTTGCTTGGAAGTCCATTGCTGTCTCCCCCTTGCCATGATGTTGGTTGCCCCGTGAAGATCCGGTTAGAATTGATTGTCACCAAGCCATGCTTGTCGTAATAGGCAACTATGGGGATCGGGTGGTCAGATTCACTGACTTGGTTGATTGCATGTCATCGTATCCCAACTACGTAGATTGATGCTTGTGATGTTAATCACTTGATTGTCTGGTCTAGACTTGATTATTTGTCTTGATCTTGTCTGGCTCGAATTTTTACAGAACACGTCTGTATAGCTGAAATATCGGTTAGTGTGGCTTTATACAACAAAGTAAGAAATAAACATGATGTTGATTGCATATTGTGGAATAAAACTCACCTCACTCGCTTTTGTGTTTCAGGGTCAGAGCTCCTTCCAAATCACGCCAATAGATGGGACACATCCATTGTTAATATTCATCAACCCGAAGAGTGGTGGCAAACAAGGGGGCAAGTGAGTGCTGCATGCTTGTCAGTGTGTTTCAGGACACGATGATGCACAAAGTGTATGTCCTCTTGAAGCATCACATCCCGGTATGAACACTGGCGGTGGGGTAGCCTAGTGGTTGAATTCGCTCGTCACGCCGAAGACCCGGGTTCGATTCCCGACATGGGTACAATGTGTGAAGCCCATTTCTGGTGTCCCCCGCCGTGATATTGCTGGAATATTGCTAAAAGCGGCGTAAAACCTCACTCACTCACGGTATGAACACAAATTTAAGTCTTGATTCACAATATCAGCAATTTTGTCTTAACTGTTTTAAAAATTTCGTCTGAACTGTTCAAAAATCGGATATGCAATGGTAAGCATTGTCTGGACTAAATAGGAATGCTAATCTTGTTTATGATGCAAGTTTGTATTTGATCACAGTTTGATCATATTTTGATCAGATTTTGAGTTGCGTTTATATTGTGCTGATCTATATACTACTCAACTTTTGATAGGGATGTTTGTTATTTCTTTATGATACACAACACTGATTCAATATGTCAAGTGTCTGTTTAAATAGAATGGCATATCTGATTATCCTTATCAAAAGCTGAGTGAATGAGCCAATGAAGAGAATCCCTGTTTGTCTGTTTCAGTAGCCAATGAAGAGAATGCCTGTTTGTCTGTTTCAGTAGCCAATGAAGAGAATGCCTGTTTGTCTGTTTCAGTAGCCAATGAAGAGAATTCCTGTTTGTCTGTTTCAGTAGCCAATGAAGAGAATTCCTGTTTGTCTGTTTCAGTAGCCAATGAAGAGAATGCCTGTTTGTCTGTTTCAGTAGCCAATGAAGAGAATGCCTGTTTGTCTGTTTCAGTAGCCAATGAAGAGAATGCCTGTTTGTCTGTTTCAGTAGCCAATGAAGAGAATGCCTGTTTGTCTGTTTCAGTAGCCAATGAAGAGAATGCCTGTTTGTCTGTTTCAGTAGCCAATGAAGAGAATGCCTGTTTGTCAGTTTCAGTAGCCAATGAAGAGAATGCCTGTTTGTCTGTTTCAGTAGCCAATGAAGAGAATTCCTGTTTGTCTGTTTCAGTAGCCAATGAAGAGAATTCCTGTTTGTCTGTTTCAGTAGCCAATGAAGAGAATTCCTGTTTGTCTGTTTCAGTAGCCAAAGAAGAGAATGCCTGTTTGTCTGTTTCAGTAGCCAATGAAGAGAATGCCTGTTTGTCTGTTTCAGTAGCCAATGAAGAGAATTCCTGTTTGTCTGTTTCCTTAGCCAATGAAGAGAATGCCTTTTTGTCTGTTTCAGGCTTTTGCGGAAGTTTCAGTATTTATTAAACCCTAGGCAAACATACGACATGATTAGGAATGGTCCAATGGTGGGGTAAGTGTTCGGTGTGTCGACCAACGATTTCGTTTTGTTTGTTTCTTGTTTAAGATTTCACTTTTGGTCGATGACTCGTGAAGATCCAGGTTAGAATTGGTCTTCAGCTGCCCATGGTTGTCTTAAGAGGCAAGGTTAATTGCCATAAGAGATGACAAACGGGATTGGGTGGTCAGGCTTGGTGACTTGGTTGATGCATATCATCGTATCCCAATTCCAGAGATCAATGCTCATGACAATCACTGGATTGTCTGGTCCAGACTCGATTATTTCCAGACTGCCATCATTTAAAGCAGTGTGGCGTTAAACAACAGACAGACAAAACTAACAAAACTGTTTTGACATTTGTTCATATTTACTATATTACGAGCACTGCTCCAGTAAGTACACCACTTTCTTAATTGTGTAAGCGCCGGAGTACTTATTACGGTGACTATGGCAAGTGTAATATGAAGATTGCATTCATGCATATGTCCCAATATAGTTTTTCTTCTTCCACAGGCTTCAGTTTTTGAAGGATGTACCAAACACTCGTATTTTAGTGTGTGGTGGTGATGGTTCTGTTGGTTGGTTACTTGATACAATGGGTAAGTGAAGCGTAACAACAAATTCCCCCTAAATGCAAAATTTAAGTTTAAAAAATCATTTTTGGTAATATTGTAAAATTATTTGAAAAATCTTTGAATTACCCTACCAGATTCATGATTCCAATTTTATACAGCATTTCATGGGTTGTGTCCCTTGTTACAGATAAGTTGGCCTTGAACTATCAACCTCCAGTTGCAGTGCTACCTCTTGGAACGGGAAATGACCTTGCTAGGTGCATGCGGTGGGGTGGAGGTAAGCAAGCAGAGATCAATTGGAGCTTTATCTGGTTCTTGAAATGCACCAATGACGTCATTCTGTTGTTTCACCCATGTTTGCTGTAAAGGCGACTATGCTTGTCGTAAGAGGCGAGGAACGGGATTGGGTGGTCAGACTCGCTGACTTGGTTGATGCATGTCATCGTAACCCAATTGCGATTGGGTAGACTACAACTAGTTCGAGAGTTCTTCAGATTATTATGAAGTATTAAAAAATCTTAAACCTGAAAGTCACATGACTCTAACTACCTTATTAACTGAGGAATATGTTCTTGGTTTTATAGCATGTCTCTTCAGCTTTTTGAAAGCACATGTCTAACATAGTTGACTAATGCAAAAGGTTCCAATCCTCTTGCTTCCTTGATTAGAAGGTATTTGATTTTCCAGAATAATGAAATCACTTCTAGTTTGAGCTAGAGTACCCTTCCTCAGCCTTCTGTTACAGCCTCATTACACTTGCTAATGTTGCAGGTTATGAAGGCGAGAGTCTGCTCAAGGTGTTGAAGCGTATTGAACACAGTACGTGCATCATGCTGGACCGATGGCAGATCGAGTTCAGCAAACCCGAGGGAACTGATGAGGAGGAGGGCGACCCCATCCCCTACAACATCATCAACAACTACTTCTCCATAGGGGTGGTGAGTGTGTTATTTGTGGATGTCCTGAATTACATATAGGGGTGGGGTAGCCAAGTGGTTAAAGTGTTTGCTCGTCATGCCGGAGACCCAGGTTGATTCCCCACATTGGTACAATGTGTTAAGCCCATTTCTTGTGTCCCCGCATGATATTGCTGGAATATTGCTAAAAGCGGCGTAAAACCATACTCACTCACTCACACATACAGGGGCCATGGTTCTCCCTCTCGACTGGCACTAGCTTGAGACATTAGCGGATGACAAGGGAGATTTGTTCTGCTCGATGGCCTGTTAATAATCCAGTCTGGACCAAACAATCCGGTGATAATATTGCGACCAATGATCCATGTCGTTTGGACACCCAATCCACCAAGTCACTGAGTCTGACCACCGAATCCATCCATGAAGATCCGGGGTAGAATAGGTCTTCAGCAACCCATGCTTGCAGTAAAAGGCGACTTTGCTTGTTGTAAAAGGCGACTAATGGGATTGGGTGGTCAGGGTCGCTGACTTTGTTGATGCATGTCATCGAATCTCAATTACGTGGATCGATGCTCATGATGTCAATCACTGGATTGTCAGGTCAAGACTCGATTGTTTTCAGACCGGCATCATATAGCTGGAATAATGTTGAGTGTTTAACCAAACAAACAAACAAACAAACATAACCGACCATGCACAGCAGTGCTGAGTTCTTTTGACGACATGAGCCACGAATAGCTGCAAAATTGCTGATGCGGCGTTAAGCAATATTCACTCACTCACTCACTTTTGACGACATGCTGTCTTTGTCCTTCCTAGCTTTTTGAGTATGGCGTTAAACAACAATCAAAAAAAATAAAAACATTAAGTCACCTCTTACAACAAGCATAGGTTGCTGAGGACCTATTGCCTCACCCAGAATCCCCACGGGGGTATGTCATACCCGCCATTTGCTAAGAGGGCAGAAATAATGAAAGTATTTCTTTGTTTCAGGATGCATCAATATGTCATCGATTTCACATTATGAGGGAAAAGCATCCAGAAAAGTTCAACAGCCGGTGAGTGGTGATTACATTGATTCACGTGTAGAATCAACTCACTTGTAGTTGAAGTAGTATGGTTTCAAACTAAATTTCCCATATCAAACAGTTGTCAACAGTTTATCTTTGTTTTTCAGGATGAAGAACAAATTTTGGTATTTTGAGTTTGGCACATCGGAGCAGTTCAGCTCTACTTGCAAGCATCTACATGAAGACATTGACATTATGGTGAGAACACCCAACTCCCCTGGGTTATCTCAGATAAACATTCTAGCAATCCTCGTTCTCCCATCTTCCCGATGTTAAGTCCAGTTTCCACTCTGCTGAACTAGGCTACAATTTCTTTCTATGATCGTAACACCACCAGTGGCGATTACAAGTTATGTCCCTTCTATGTCCCTCCTATTGACCAGATTCCACCTCTCATATCACTTGCATTTGATTCACACAAAATAGAGGCACCCAGTCAAGAAAATCGGATCGATAATCAAGATTTGTTTTGTAATAATATGGGTTGATGCCCATTTGACAGTACACATGTTCTGCAAATCCTGCGATCATCCAAAATCAGCACGGCAGTCGCCATGTTGGTTATGAGCTGAAGTCGATTTCGTTACTTGATATTGATTGGAGTATGTATAAACTTGTTAGTCCAGCCAAAATATAACTCCATTATTCCAGCCTAGTTTGGCAAGGGTGGAAACTGGACTTCTGTAGTCTTTTAACTCCCTTGCCTCGGGAAGATGTCGATCTCCATTCTAGTGTGAGAACTACCCTGAACCCATTCCCAACCAAGCTTTGTTTGGAGCCCATTTCAAATTACATGAGATCAAAAATAGCCATCAAATCTAAATACACTCAAAGTGAGAGAAATTGTTTGAGATGTGATAGATTGAGATGGTGATATCCCAGACGAAACAAAGGTTAGTTGAGAATGGGTCTGATAGTAATCTGGGATGTATTTGAACGCTGAGGGAGGATTTCCTGTGGGTCTGTTGATATAGTCTGTCGTTCTTTGTGGTGGCACGTGGTCCTATGCACAGGGCACAGGGCACAGGGCACAAATCAGGTGAAGTTAAGTATTGTCGGTCGTGGAGAGTCCTTGTATGGGTGACCACATTCGGCAGCTTGGTTCCTGAGAGTTTCTAGAGCTTCGGTTTTGTCCCACACTGAAGCAAATGTAAAGCAGCATAAAACAAGACTCACTCACTGTACACGAGGGGAGTACGGTTTGATGGGTACACAGCTACGCAGTGGATACATATAGACTGCAGTATTTGGGTCTCCACTTTGGAACGAACGTTTTTACGTGTTTACGGAAGTTGTCGAATGAAAAACGTTCCACGCATGCGCAGTTCGTTATTGACGGTCGAAGCGAGAGGATTTGTTGGCCGCCATTTTCTACCGAACGCTGTCTGCAGTTCAGTATTTTCTTACACAGACAAAAAATGAATATTTATGTAAATGTCATTGACCAATAACGTTCAAGCATGTATGCAAGGTGAGATAATGTTGTTTATCTCCCCCCTCCCCCAGTGTGATGGTTACTCTCTGGACCTGGCCAACGGCTCCCCCCTGGAGGGTATTGCTCTTCTCAATATTCCAAGTATCTATGGAGGTACCAACCTGTGGGGCGAGAACCCCAGCCAGAAGAAACGACGGAAAGCTCAAAAAGCTAAGAAGGACAAAGACAAAGAGTTCTCCACGAGCAGCATGTCGTCAGCAGAACTCAACATTGCTGTGCAAGGTCAGACTTGTTTGTTTGTTTGTTTGTTTGGTTGGTTACAATCTCAGCAATATTCCAGCTATATGACGGCGGTCTGTAAATTATTGAGTCTGGACCAGACAAGCCAGTGACTGGCATCATGAGTATTGATCTCAGCAATTGAGATAAAATGACATGCATCAACCAGGTCAGCGAGCCTGACCACCCGATCCCGTTAGTGGCCTCTTACAACAAGCATGGGTTGTTGAAGACCAACTCAAACTTGGATCTTCACAGGTTGTATTGACTGTGAAAGGACTAGAAAGGACATTTTTGTGGAAACCTCGGTGGCTGAGTCGGTTAGATTGCTGACTTTGTGTGCTGGCGATTAGGTGCCTCACTCTGGCAGTGTGGGGTTGAAACCTCGATGGGACTGTACTTTTCTAAGAAAGTGTTATCCCAAATATAACATTTGTTAGATTAGATTGGTATTCCAATAGGTTGAATTTTTGGTAGAAATTAGGTGAGTGAACGCCAAAAAAGTATGAAGAGTAGCTGGATGGGTGACCACATTCAGCATCTTGACTCCTGAGAGTTTCTAGGGCTTTTGCCCTGCCCCACACTGAAGCACATGTTGCACATGTGATGTCGCCTTAGGCAAGAGACTTTGTTCGAAATGTGCCTCTGTTCACCCAGCAGTGAATGTGTATCAGGTAGGACGAGATGGTGATGTGGCTGATAACCTTCTAGTGCCTCACAGGCAGCTTGCGTGGTATACTCCTCAGGGAGCTGAGAATGAAAATTGAGTGTTATTATGATTGTTGTTGGTGTTGTTGTTATTATTATATAAAATAGCTGTTTGCTTCTGTTCTTTATATCCCTGATATTAAATCCTGTATGTGTGTTACAGATGTTGGGGACAAGCTGATTGAGGTGGTGGGCCTGGAGAACAGTATGCATGTCGGTCAGGTCTACGCCGGACTGCGGGCATCCGGCAAACGTCTTGCTCAGTGCTCACAAGTTGTCATTAGGTATGTGTCGGTACTCACAAGTTGTCATTAGGTATGTGTCGGTACTCACAAGTTGTCATTAGGTATGTGTCTGTACTCACAACTTGTCATTAGGTATGTGTCAGTGCCCACAACTTGTCATTAGGTATGTGTCAGTGCCCACAAGTTGTCATTAGGTATGTGTCAGTGCCCACAAGTTGTCATTAGGTATGTGTCAGTGCTCACAAGTTGTCATTAGGTATGTGTCAGTGCTCACAAGTTGTCATTAGGTATGTGTTGGTACTCACAAGTTGTCATTAGGTATGTGTTGGTACTCACAAGTTGTCATTAGGTATGTGTCTTTGCTCACTAGTTGTCATTAGGTATGTGTTGGTACTCACAAGTTGTCATTAGGTATGTGTTGGTACTCACAAGTTGTCATTAGGTATGTGTCTGTCCTCACAAGTTGTCATTGGTATGTTTCTGTGCTCACTAGTTGTCATTAGGTATGTGTCTGTCCTCACAAGTTGTCATTGGTATGTTTCTGTGCTCACTAGTTGTCATTAGGTATGTGTCGGTACTCACAAGTTGTCATTAGGTATGTGTTGGTACTCACAAATTGTCATTAGGTATGTGTCGGTACATGTACTCACAAGTTGTCATGAGATATGTGGCAGTGCCCACAATTTGTCATTAGGTATGTGTCAGTGCTCACCAGTTGTCTTTAGGTATGTGTTGGTACTCACTAGTTGTCATTAGGTATGTGGCCGGTCATGGGGTAGGGGGGTGCTGATGAGTTTGATTCCCCTCCCTTATAATAAATGACCAGTCCCTCAGTCCCTTACCTACCAATAACAAAATGCATCCTCATGCTAAGAGAAAAAGGAAGAATTGTAACGTTTGTGATTTTATGTCTTGCTTTCAGAACAAGGAAAAGATTTCCAATGCAAATAGATGGGGAACCCTGGATGCAACCACCGTGCACTGTGAGTAGGAGACAGAGACTATTTCATGCTTTTCAGACTTCACGAGATGAGATATACATCGTATTTGACATAAAACGTGAAATAGTGTATTTATTATAAACATCTTGATGCTACAATGTCCCTTTTTCAAAGATTTGTCAACAGCTGATCAAGTCGCATTCTCACGCACTACAATGATTGACAGCGTGTGCACAATATAGTTCCTCATTAAAACGTAACAACCAAAAACATGCAAAATTATGTTTTTTATAATTTTCAATATTTATTGTTGATTCTCGTTATCTTAAAGAACATGACACCTTGAAAACTTGTTTTGTGGCGCACCAGTGGGAAAGCACACAAATACATGTATACAACAAAGCTACTATTATGGCAAAGATCAGTGACCCACTTCATCGCAAGTTTATAGTAGTCAAGTCAAACAAGAACACAACAGACAGCATCATGGTAGTTTTTTGTAATAGGAAAGTTGTAGGACATCAAGTAGACAATACCACAAGGAGGTGCAGTCGAGTAGCCTGGTGGTTTAAGCCGAAGACCTGGGTAGGATTCCTGACATGGGTACATATCTGAAGCCCATTTCTGGTGTCCCCAGCCGTGATGTTGCTGGAATATTGCTAAAAGAGGTGTAAAACCATACTAACTCACTCAATATCATTAGGTGAAAGAACCAAGGGGGAGACAACTTTCAGGGCGGTAACTCTGGATGAAACTAGTTCTGTCACCCCAGGGCCATGAAAATTCTGGTTTTTATTTTAATGACAGTGAAATATGACTTTTATACTGCATATGTCACACTCATGTATAATTAACAAAGTCCCTTCATTCTTACACATGTGGATTCTGGGTACCAGCTGACAATGAGGCATCATTCATTTAGTACCTCCATCTGTTTGTGTTTGAGACTTTCCAGAACAACTGTATCTAGTTGGAACATGATAGCTGATATAGGCATGGAAATGTCACGTGACAAGCTCACTTAGGATGTTTACATGGGACTTTTTATAGACGATCGGATAACCTGATCAGAAAGGTGTTTCACCACTATAATTAAATAATGGAGTGATAAGATTTTGACAAAAAACAACACATCTACCAGACACAAATTGCATCCATGTAGCTCCTGTATTTTAACCTCCTTTTCCAAAAAGGGGCATGAATGGCTTTGCTGTCTTGGGCCCTCGATTCGCTGTGCAGAGTTGCATCCCTTGGGCACGCCAGAAACCTATGATCGTGGGTTCAAATCAAGGTTCACCCTGATTATGTTTCTAGGTTGTCAGCACCATACCCGTGCAAGTGGTAAACGTCTGTGACCTGCTTCACTTGGAGATTTCCTCCCACATCAAGCTGACACGCTGTGATATAACTGGAATACTGTGCAAAGCTGCATTAAACCCAACTCACTCACTCACTCACTCACTCACTCACGCACTCACGCACTCTCACTCACTCACTCACTCACTTTCCTCCTGTTCACTCACTCCACTCACGCCCTCACTCACCCTCCTTTTCCGAGGTGATGTTCTCACTCCTATTCCACGCTTGATGAAGTAACTGTTGTACTTACAGATCTATGTTACACACAAGAACCAAGTGCCCGTACTGATGGCGCCCCCGTCAAACAAGAAGTCCAAGCTTTTCAAACTGTTCAAGAAGTAGCTCAGTCTGTGCAGTGAAGGTGGGTATCAGGAAGAGTGCCAGCTCACATAGGCACTATATATACTGATCAGTATAGTCAGACCATCCACAAAATATACGTGATTTGAACTGTTGGTTCTCTTCTTAAAAAATAGGGGCGGTGGGTTAGCCAAGTGGTTAAAGCTTTGACTTGCCACGCCGAAGACCCAGGGTCGATTCCCATCATGGGTGCAATGTTTGAGCCCATTTCTGGTGTCCCTCCGCCGTGATATTGCTGGAATATTGCTAAAAGCGGCGTAAAACCATACTCTCACTCACTCACGTCCCCATAAAACTACAATGACATGGTGTAGCTCTTTTATTGTCCTCAGGAATAAACCCAGTGTCTAAGAGACGACTAAATGGATTAGAGGTGTCATCCTGCATTGGACATTGCTCATTATATCAATCACTTGATTGCCTGGTCTGGTTATTGCTGACTGCAGCGGTAAACAAGAACACAAACAATTAAATCATTCAGAAATATTTCTTGGGTTGCCCTGGACCACATCTTGACACAAGTAATGGAGAAATCATGAGAAGTTGCATCTTCCTGAGGCAAGGGAGTTAACTGACTATAAAAGTCCAGTTTCCACCCCTGCTGAACTAGGCTGGAATTTCTGGGCTCAACCGTAGCTCCACCAGTGGCTATTACGAGTCATGTCCCTTCTATGTCCCTCCTGTTGACCAATGAGATTCCACCTCTCACATCACTTGCATTCGCAATAAAATACGTCGCCCAGTGAAGACAATCTGATTGATACTAAAAATATAATTAAACAGGTCTTACATTGCGAAGTGCACCAAATCATGTGAGCACCTTGATTAATAACTTGAAATGATCTGGAAACTATCTGTTGACACTGTGTAGGCAGTACACATGCTCTGCAAAACCTGCAAGCGAAAATCTGAAAATCTGTTAGGCAGTTAACGAACCGAATGTGGATTTTGTTACATGATTTTGATAGGATTATGCATACACTCGTTAGTCCAGCCATAACTCCATAATGCCAGCCTAGTCTGGCAAGGGTGGAAACTTGACTTTTATGGTCAGTTAACTCATTTGCCTCGGGAAGATGGAGCAGTTGCATGGGTGGATACAGAGGAGGGGTGCGCACCCCCCCTTTTTATTTAAAAAAAAATCTTTATTTCTGTATAAATTACCACCAAAGACAATAAATAGATCTTAATTGTGCACCCCCCTTTTCAAAAAAGCTGTATCCGCCCATGAGTTGTGTTGATTTGGAAAGTAGAATCAATGAACCCTGAAGACGTGAGTTGACTTTACTTCCCAAATCAACAGATTCAAGTGATTACTTTGACTTCAACCATGTTATTAATGATGTATAATTTCTCTATAATTTTGCATAATGACATTAGTTTTGCATCCGTTTAACACATTCAGAAGGGCCAGTGATTTCCTGGCTGAGACTCAACTGCAACAGCAAGACCTGATCATAGTTGAACTTTGTAATTTCAGGCCGGCCTTGCGTCGTTGAACATTGTGGATCAGCAAGTTGAGCCTTTCCCAGCTATTCTAGCGCAGTAGCCCGAGGTCCATATGATAGGCTGATGCAGGTCATCGCTTTTACCAGTTGTAGCCCCGGTCAATAGCCATGGCCACTGTCTCGGCAATACTTCTTGGTGCAATATTAAACAACCATAGCTTCTTACATAGTGGCATCCTCCCATCGCCCATCTTGTTTCTTGTTATTGAGTGTAGCCAGAATCCCACCTAAGTGGTTATCAAAATTGTCATTTCTTTGTTGCCATGGTTACCTCTATTACATTTTGATAATTTATATCATTTAGATTTCTATTTTGTGTTTATATTTGACATAGTTACAACTTCATGATATACTTCTGTATATTTTTTTCCATTTTTATTCAATATTCATATTATAGTTTCAGTGTTAATTTCATAGAAAATTATTTCAATTTTTGTAGTGTTTTGTTTTTGTATTATCATTTTTTGAAGTAATATATATTTTTTGTATTTTGTACCCTCCTCATTTCCAGGAATCCGAAATGAAGCAACAGATGGGTGTTAATTAATCAGAGAATTATCTTGTCATAATATTTCAGTTTAGGTCATTTTCTAGAAAAAAACAAATCAGTCATAATAGTAAAGTGGACCTCCATATATTGAGAGACATTTTGATATCGCTATATACTATTTTCACTGTGACACTCAGGTATTTTATTGATGTGCAATTTGCAATATTTGATATGCCACATCACTAAAGGTAATATTGTACCAAGAATTACATCACTGAAACCCTCTTCCCTATATATGCCTATAGACTATTCCATATGAATGTGTGGAAGATTCCAAGAATGCATGGTAGGGGCTATAACATAGGTCTAGATTACATCAACCCCACAACCAATGGGCAGCTAAATAAGATAATAATTTCAATGCCAAATATATGTTTTTAGTGGTGTTTTCTGACACTGTTCATGGTCAAATCCGTCGACAGATGTAATAAGAATAGTCTTGTGGATGCTGATTATGTTTATTTGAAGGCTCAATCATGTGACCGTTTTCACTGGCCTTATAATTAAGCAATTATCGAAGTGTTTCCACATCTGTTACGACAGTCTTTGTCAAGACTGCCATGATGCACCATTAAAAGGTTAACAAATATTTCAAGATAAGCTGTCAAGAATGGGTGTGTTGATACTACTCTCTAATGATACTACTCAAAAAATGTTAAACACCATCCGATTTTTTCATATTACTATACTTAATCAGGTGGTCCTTAACTATTTTTTTGTAGTATATATAATGTCAACGCCTGAGAATAATCAATCTTGATTATCTGCCTGAACAGTTTCCATTGGGCGTAAAAGGCGAAAAAGCCGTGTAAATTTATAAATGTATCACTTAAAATCAGTGGTGACACCTGGTGTTCATAAAAAGGGTAAGCAGGACCTGCTCTAAAAGTAACACCCGTCAAAGAAATCCCAGTTTAAATCTGAACAAAAGGGGAGTAGAATAACCCAGTGGGTTTGCCCAAGTGAACAGAAGGACAAGGTTTGAATCCTAAGATGGGTACTATTTGTGAAACCCACTATTACTGCAGGAAATGTTAAGTGTTGATACAGCGTTCTTCATTACTCACTTTTCTTTATTGAATATCAAGAATACATTCATTCTCCTAAAGAGTTATCTTGAGTAGGAGGGAGTTAAAATTTAATATCACATCAGCATTACTTCAGCCATATTAGGGGTTTATATGATAAAATCAGTATCGACCATGCTGTTTGAGAATCTGAAGGAGTTTATCCAGTAAGGAGTCTAAAGAGGTTACTGCAATTATGCAAATAGTCTGATAATTCTCTATTTACGCATTCTGATTGAGAAAGGAAAATATATACTACTCAAAGAAGTTAAGGATCACCCAATTCCAAATATGACTATAGTTAATCTGCCATGGCCATTGACAGATATATCAAAGTTGCATGAAAGAATCAGGTGGACCTTAACTTATTTTCAGTAGTATGTTTGTAACTTTGTCATAGGGATGGATTTATTATCTAAATTGTGGACATTCTTTACCAAAGTCAGGAGACACTTGATATTGTTTAATTTTAAGGCCCTCTTTCATTACAAGGAATAATATCTCTATAAGATTCATGGCAGTTCGTGGCTCGTCATTGTCGTAATTAACGACGTTTTTTAGCCTCCCATGCCTCTGTCAGACCTTCAACCCAAGTTTTTTTAATCCTATAAGTATTTTATTTCCTGTCCATTGATCTTTATGTGCATACATGCATGGAACAGCAAGTTTGCAAAACCTACTTGTGATATATGTAAACATAATGCCTTCTGTATACAGTGATGTTATTGTTGTGTATAATCGATTGCACTTCTGTCATGCTTGTGTCATATAAGTTTGGTGTATATTGCTATGCCAGCCAGCCAAACAAGAGCTTATTCATGCTCTTCCCAAGGTAAATCTACATGGAAAATTTGACCATTCTTGTGCCTATTTCTAAGTAGAAACATTATCTCTATTGTAGTGTGCCAGTAAAGAAAGGACTCTCTGTAGTAGTGTTCATAGATTTCTTAAATGTATGACCTGTCTGATTCAATATCAGACCTCAATACAGTGGAACCTTATTAATCTGGACAGTACCAATTCCAGGGAATTCATTCAGATTAACAAATTTCAGGGTTAAGTGTCTTGGTTTGGACTGATGTCTCTACATATATATATATATATATAGGCATCAGTAATCGTATCTGGATAAACAGGGGTCTAGATAAATGAGGTTTCACTGTATGTGTAAAAGTACAGTTTGGGTAGGTTTCATTTTAAGATCCATCTAATTTGTGGTAGTTTTCTAGTAGAAAAAAGATAGAGTGATTTTTAAAGAAATATGATTTTTGTGGAAGAAGTTTTTAGATTATAGAATAGAACGTGTATAGGTCTTGTAGCCAACCACCATACAGCAGATAGAAGGGCCTAGTAATGTAAATGACATTGAATTCTGCAGGAGTGAATATGCTTTTTATTTTCATGATGAATATATGGCATTCATTTCCTTAAGACATATTTTTTTCGAAATTGTGTAATTTCAGAACGAACAGGAGAACATTGAAGCTTTCAATTTTGCTCTTTTTTTTCAGCATCAGTAGTCTTTTCAACCTTGTAGAGATTTTTCTTGAACTCTAGGCTTAAAAAATTGGAGACTATGCATGAACTACAATCCTTCCTTATGAAATAAGCAGTATAATAGCTTTATTGAAATATTAATATATTTGAGATACTTCCTGTTGATTTTGTAGTTTTATAAATCTTTTTCCATATGGTATAGAACTGGATTTATTCTTTATCTGATTCGCATTTAATACTATACTCTGTCATGATTCATATCTTCCATCAACGCACAAAATACAATTTCAGTATATTATAATCATTATTGGACTGAATATATCAACATGTTTGTGTCCAATGAAACAAGGAAACGTCAAGAAAGAAAGCAATAATGTTGTGTTAATTATCACTGAGGAAGTAATGCTATTAGATATACAGCTTATCGCATGCCTGAAAATTCATGTTAATGTTTAACTATGTCAAATGTACCAAAATGCACTAGTATTCAATATGTATACATACATCATAGTGTGTTCCTTGAAGGGAGATAAGCAGTATATAAAGGGGAATAACTCTTGTGAGTTGGGTAAATTGTCATCAACTATGACTGTAGCCGGAGTTAGAGTTACCAGTTTAACAATATGTTTTATTTTTACTCTATTATGCAAACAGTTATACATATTCAAATACGTTGTTTCATTTAGGGAATTTTGAGTTACCTCCCTTGGTCATGCATAGCGATAGCTTGGTTAGGCCATGTTATACAGCCATGTTGGATTGTGTGGTCAGGGCAGTTTTTGACCTTATTCGTTAATTCCTGCATATTAAATTCATAATGAGGACAACTATATCCATGATTATGTATCCAGCTTCTGTTTGTTGTTAGTCTTACAACCCCTTAATATTTATCTAGTTGTTAGGATGTCATATCTCGTTAATATTTCTTTTCAGATATTGTATACCCTAATCAAAATGTGTTATTATTTTTGTATTCAGAATATATCATTATAATGTGAAGTCATGCACAAAATAGTCCATTTTTTTCCATTTAATTACACAAAGTTTTGTTAACATATGTCTGTTTCAAAAGAGCAGCCTAAATATTTATCATATACAAGTATACTCTGCATAGTTGCCACTGGTTTTGGCTGTGATGTGCGCAGGTTTCTGAGTGTTTAAGTTATTCGGATGAACAGAGGTCAGCATTCTGTATTCCTCGTCTAGTACTCTCCTGCCTTTCTTCATACAGTATTTTTATGAAATATTTTCACTATTGTACATTGTAACTATAATTTACCGTACCAAACATGGGCCTTGGAAAAGCAACAGTACTCACAAAATACCCATTTGAAACCATTACTGATTTTCAATCATACTGTTCTGAAGTCATACTTTTGTGAAATGGAATCATTTGTGCTTTTGTTGGTAGGGTTATATATACACTTTGTTATGTCAGTAATGTTTTGCAGGATGCTGTTTTCATGAGTTTACAAAACTGAGACAATTTTCAATTTTTTAACTTTGATAAAAAGATTATATAAAGAGAGAAAGCAGTTGATAAACAAGTTTGTAAGTAGTAAGAATTTGATGTGCACATCAGGTTAAAAAGAGATAATAAGATATGTCTTAAAACAAAGTTTTGTCATTCAAAATATTTCTATAAGGAAAAATCAAATCCTTAACTACATCTTAAGAAGCAAAATGTTGAAATAGATGTTGGAATACAAGAACAAGGCAATTATGATGATGAACACTATAGGTTTTGTGATTTGGAAATCAGAAACCTTACAATTGTGTGTCCTTTTAAGATATACTACTCAAAAGAAGTTAAGTTATTTTGACTTCTTTAACTTCTTTGGAGTTGTATTTTTTCAATATAACCTTCCCATAATATTGGTCAGTCGTCTTTCATACCTCATGCATAGTCGCAACAAGTCTATACTGGATACTTCCAGGAGAGATGGCAGTCCTTGTGTATATATTCAGGAACTATCCAAGAATAGTGCAGTATTTGTCGGTAGTGAGACTTTCTGTGGCAGTTTCTTCAATCGACCAATCAAAAATCGGTGAAACTATTAGATCTGAGTGTCACTATATAATTAGGGAACTACTTTATATACAACCATATATCAATTCTGTTTTAGTATTCATGTAGAAATTGTATACGTTTTTTCTTCTTCACATTATAAGCTAATAGTCGTTTTTGACAAATTGCGTTAATTATTTCCTACTAGTTGTTGTTTTTGTGCACTTATACGGTTCTACACTCATGCCATGCCAGTCTGTTTTAGCCATAACCTATTGTGTCTTGAACAGAACCATCCCTATTAATTAGTATATCGGTTGACAGTATATGTTAGTGTATAGGGGATTCAGACAGTGCTTTGCTCAACTCTCCTTCGGCTTTAGCCTGATATTTCTGCTTTTATTGCTGATGTTATATTCAACTTGTTCCACCATGATCTCTGTATGATAGTTGTAAGGTATTTTCATTTTGTTATGTTATCATAGCTTCCAACTATCCCCAATATTTCGTATTTGTTACGAATTTCCAACTCAAGTATGAATTCATACTCAATTCATACAAATAATATGCCAAACCACAAAAAATATCGCAAGAATTTTTTTTTCATAAACGCATGTAAGGAAAGGTAATTACTTAGCCTTACATCGTCTGTAAAAATATGAAATGAATTCTTACTCAATTCATACAAATAATATGCCAAACTACCAAAAATATCGCAGAATTTTTTTTTCATAGACGCATGTAAGGAAAGGTCATTACTTAGCCTTACATCCTCTGTAAAAATATGAAATGAATTCTTACTCAATTCATACAAATAATATGCCAAACTACCAAAAATATCGCAAGAATTTTTTTTTCATAGAAGCATGTAAGGAAAGGTCATTACTTAGCCTTACATCGTCTGTAAAAATATTGCGAGGGCATTCATTGACTGGTATAAAGTCTATTTATAGTGTTGCACCTGCCCAAATGAGACAGTCCAGTATTTTTGGAAGCGGCTTCAGTCGATGTAGAAATTAGTGATACCATTATCAGCTGAGTTTCGGGATATCGTCGGGCTTTGGTGTCCTGACCATAAGATCGTAACAAAATACAAATCGTTATAGGGATGTTGGCAGCTATGTGTTATTAATATTGATGGACATTTGTCAAAGATAGTCCCACTGTTACAGCCAAAATGGTTAAAGCTGTGACACTTATTTCACACCTGTCATTGAAGATAAAAGAGGAGTGTCTAAGTTGCTAGAAGTCATAATAGCCAGTTATTTGAAAAGGTAAATATTTGTCACAGCTTCGAATGCCTTGGTCATAAACAAAACCAGAGTTCTGGTTTCATAATACTGAGTGTAAGTACTTCAGTATTGTGTAAAATGTACTTCATGTTTCTGAAATAGGGCCAGATGTTATTCTGTACATGATAGATCTTTGCAGGCAAAGATACCTTAAGTTTGGGATTCACTCATGAGCAATGCTATAGGATTCTGTTGCAATTTTGAAAAGTGTAAGTTATGTTTTTCAGTGTATGATTGTTTATGTGATAACAACATTAACAACGTCTTAATGCAAATATAAGACGTAAAATTTGAAAATTCTTTCCTACAATGAAATAATTAATATTTATCAAGACTTTGTGACCAAGGTCATGAATTATTTCATCGCACATTATGAATATGATTGATCGACCATATTCCTGTTTGTTTTCCTAAATTTGTTATTCCTTGTTTTGTTTACTTGCGTCATATCATTTCAATCAGTTTGATCTATAATCAGTGTTTGAAGCTAAACCCAGCATATTGACATTTAGTTGTAAATGTGCTTGTAGATCCTAACTCCTAGTTATACTAACTGTAGATTGTGGATATTCTACTTCAAGCTCAGTGTTCTCCACTAGTTTCCTCTGATAATGTCTCAATCTTCACTGTTATACTGGGTCCTACAGATGCCCCAACTACTAGAACTCTCAATTTGTTGATGTCATAAAATTTACATGAATGCAGATTTTTATTTGAAAATTTCATCCTATAATATGAAATGTTAAGAAATTGAAATGTGCTTTAATGTCTTTTTATCCAATTTCAATAAATATTTCAAGCCAGAATTTATTTGTGGTATTTTGGAATGCATGAGAAAGTGGAAGCATAATAGGTCTGGGACGGGTAACTTGGGTACTCGGGTCGGGTGGGTACTGAGTAGGACCCAGGTACCCGGACCCGGACTCGTCCCAGCCCTAATGCATAAGAAGGATCTCATCTTCCCAAGGAAGGGTTGGTTGGTTGGTTGGTTGGTTGGTTTGTTGTTTAACGCCGCACTCAGCAATATTCCAGCTATATGACGGCGGTCTGTAAATAATCGAGTCGGGACCAGACAATCCAGTGATTGATATCATGAGCATCGATCCACGCAATTGGGATCGATGACATGCATCAACCAAGTCAGCGAGCCTGACCACCCGATCCCGTTAGTCGCCTCTTACGACAAGCATAGTCACCTTTTACGGCAAGCATGGGTTGCTGAAGACCTAGTCTACCCCGGAATCTTCACGGGTCCCCAAGGAAGGGAGTTAACTGACTGTAAGAGTCCAGTTTCCACCCTTACCGAACTGGGCCAGAATTTCTGGGCTGGATCCTAGCGCCATCAGCGGCTATTACAAGTTATCTCCCTTCTATGTCACTCCTGTTGAATCAGATTCCACCTCTCTTATCACTTGCATTTGCTTCAAACTAAATGGTGGCACATAGTCAAGAAGATCTGATCTAATCAAAATCTATACAGTAAACTACGGCTATAACAAACTCAAAGGTACCAACAGGTTTGTTCGTTATAACCAGAGTTTGTTATAAGTGTTTCAACTAAAGCATACCGCAAATGGCCGGGACCAAATATTTATCCGGTACTTCATTATAAGCTCGTTATAAACATAGTTTATTGTAGTGTAAGAAAACCAGTCTTACAACGCGAAGTGCATCTTATCCCTTGAGCACCTTGATTAATAACATGAAAAGATTTAGAAAATATCTGTTGACACATCCTTTGAAAATTCTGCAGTCGACCAAAATCTGCACAGGTGTTTACGAACCGGATGTCGATTTCGTTACGCGATTTTGATTTTGACTATGCCGAGAATCGTTAGTCCAGCCAAACTGTAACTCCATAATTCCAGGCTGGTTCGGCAAGGGTAGAAACTGGACTTTTATAGTCAGTTACCTCCCTTGCCTCAGGAAGATGGAAGGATCTTAAGTGTTATGGAGTCTGAGACACTGTCCAATCCTGTGTCCATTAGGCATACCAGGAACCAATAATTGTCAGTTCCAATCCCAGATTTGTCCTGATTTTGTTTCCAGGTTTGTCAGCACCAAACCCTTTCTGATTTGACGGAAGTGATAAAAGTCTAAGAGCTGCATCACTTTTGGCTTTCCTCCCAAATAAAGCTGACATGCTGAGATATGACTAAATACTTATCAATGCATGGTGAACCACACTCGCTCACTCACTCGCTGAATATGGAGTTATACAGAAATGTTTATTTGTTTGTTGTTTAACACCGCACTCAGCAATATTCCAGCTATATGACGGCGGTCTGTAAATAATCGAACCTGGACCCGACAATCCAGTGATTAACATCATGAGCATCGATCCAATTGGGATACGATGATATGCATCAACCAAGTCAGCGAGACTGACCACCAGATCCCGTTAGTCGCCTCTTACACAAGCATACTCGCCTTTCACTGCAAGCATGGGTTGCTAAAGACCTATTCTACCCCGGATCGTCACTAGTCAATATAGAAATGAAAAACCTCAGGCAGCAATAGAAGATAACAGGATGCAGATGATAGTCTCGACCTTGTTTAACGTTGTTATGATGGTCAGACAATGGAGTTATCATACAGGTAGATATATAACAGCATATAAACATAGCCTGGACCAAACCAACCAGTGATGTCCGTCTCATCAACCTGTTGGGATTTCAGTGTAGAATAGATGCCCATCCACATAAGCTGCTTGTGACAAGCAACCAAATGGATCTGGTGGTCAGAGTGAATGTGTAGACTACGTGTCATTGCTAATCTTACCGAGGCAAGGGAGTGAACTGACTATAAAGGTCCAGTTTCCACCCTTGTCAAACTAGGATGGAATATCTGAGATATATTTTGGCTGGACTAACGAATCTTTGCATAGTCCAATTCACAATCGCGTAAAGAAATCAACATCTGGTTCGAAAATAACATAGCGAATGTGCTGATTTGTGTTGTTTGCAGGATTTGCAAAGCATGGACACCGTCAACTGGATGTCGACAGATACGTTCCGAATCCTTCTAGTCTTTAATTAGTTTGTAAGAAGCAATGGAAGTGATATGAGCGGTTGAATCTGATTGGTCAGTGGAAGGGACATATAAGGGACATAACTCGCAATAGACATAAATTCCAGTCACGTTCAGGAAGGGTGGAAACTAGATTCTTATAGTCGGTTAACTCCCTTGCCTCGAGAAGATGGTGTCATTGTACCCTCTCTGCTGTTACGTTGTTCATAATATCACTCACTGGTTGTCAGGCACAGACTTGATTTATTTACAGGACACAGTGACACAGCTGGAATATTGCTGATTGTGGTACTGACAAAAAACAACAATAACCATCTTATCCCTGTTTATGATTATCAGGGCCACCTTCGGCCCCTTCATTGACTGGCACTGCTCACACTAGTTTCACATCATGCTTGATAGTTTCATTTCAGACCAGAACTGAAAATGCTGATACCTTCATAAATAAAAGCGACAACACCCTTTCCATAATCAAAGAAATCACTGCTAAAAGTAGTCCTTTTGTTCATTCGTCATTATCATACGCAGGTGTTTATGAATCTCTTTCAAATAGTGATGGGGGGCACGGGTGGCCCAGTCGTCTAAGGCGCCGCGATTCGCTGTGCAGAGTTGCGTCCCTTGGGCACGCCAGAAACCTATGATTGTGGGTTCGAATCCCGGTTCTCGGTTTGTCAGCACCATACCCGTGCCCGTGGGTTTCACCGAAGTGGTAAACGTCTGAGACCTGCATCACTTCGGGCTTTCCTCCCACAATTAAGCTGACACGCCATGATATGACTGGAATACTGTTAAAAGCGGCGTTAAACCCAACTCACTCACTCACTCAAATAGTGATGATACCAGTTGTTCGCAAAAAGGAGAGTGTACCCTGCCCCACCGGTGGCACCCATACCATATGCAAAGCCAAGTTAATTGTTCACGTGAAAAAACATAGGAACATATGGTACATGTCAAAATAGGGCAATGACTCGGACGTCATTTATTGTCACTGATGCGTCAAATTTGGAAATGTTTTTCACTTTATACACACCTCATACAAATTAATGTTGGCCAGTGATTTTAAAGAGGTGTTAGACTCAGACAAAATTGGCATTCATAGCAATTTTGATTTATATCATTCAAAACCAGTTCGAACTTTGTCTGCTAAGTTATAAACTGCTGAGCAGAATAAGATACACACTTGAACACTGGATTGTCTTTGCTCCAAGCTGCTTTTCTTGGGAGATGTAGGTAAAGACAATACAGGTATATGGTCTTTGTCACAGACTTGCTCATAACGCAAAATGTAAAAAGACTGAATATGTCATTTGATCATGATTTTTCATACCAATAATATGTTTTTTGTAATATTTTGTTTTATCTCTCAGCAAACTCATTGACTATGGATACCGACGCAGATGTGACATAAAACATGGACATATATATCACTGAAACACATACAAATTTGTAATTTGATCTAAATTCCATTTGATCCGACACAAGTGTCATTATAAATACAGCACATTCCATCAGTCATGGATTTGTCATGAGTACAGCCGGGAGCCTCTCGTGGCAGCTGTTGCTTTCGTGCGCCATGTTGGTCGTCGCAACCTCCAGGCTTCTATTCTGCTGCAAATGTGACCGAGCTTATTCCCTGAAACGCGTCTAACGCCAACAGGTGGCGTCGATCGCGTGTTGACTAGGTGGATGAATATCTTTATTCACAGCGCAGCGGCTCATCGACTGAAGGAGGGTTCACTCGCCCAGGCACAGGATACAAGGTAAGGTTGTTTGAGGGGGCTTTTACTCGTGTTTTTTGTGGAAAAAGGGCATTTTCAGCTTACATGTTAGGGATTTCATGTAGAATGTATCTTACATTATACCCCTGTAACCAATGCTGCCATTTATCATCTCAGAAGAAGCTGATGTGCGTTGTTGGTTTGGTCTCATTTGTCAATAACTTGATTGATCGTCAGCTTGGGGTTTGCTGGGCGCAAAGGACTGTTGGGATATCATTCGTCTACAGACCAGCATTAACACAGTTGACACACATATACAAGAATATACGTATAAGCGCTTAGCACCCACCTAGCCGAGGCAGTTAAAATAATACTTATAAATTGCCAGGCAAAAGAAAGTATACATTTGAAAATTGGATTTGACATAAAAATAATAAACGTTATCAAAACGTTATAAGGCTGAAAAAATCGCCTAAACACTGCAAACGTAAGTCCAAAACAGAACTTTGATATCTGTATTAAATACATCACCATCGAATAAGCATTTGTGTTTGTCCATTTTAGCCGGAACAAACATGGGTGTAAACTTTCTTTTACCCGTCAGTACGAGTATGTATCCCAGAGACTCAGTTCAAATACTTACGGGTCAGGGAAATAACAGGAGACACTTATTGTTCAGAAATGGAGAGCCATTTGTGATGAGTCATCAAGGAACATGGAAATCTGAATCAATGTAGCACAGCATCTTCAGATAAATGACGTAACAATGACTATGAATCACTGTAGCACAGTATCTTCAGATAAATGACGTAACAATGACTATGAATCACTGTAGCACAGTATCTTCAGATAAATGACGTAACAATGACTATGAATCACTGTAGCACAGCATCTTCAGATAAATGACGTAACAATGACTATGAATCATTGTAGCACAACATCGTCAAATAAATGACGTAACAATGACTATGAATCACTGTAGCACAACATCTTCAAATTAATGACGTAACAATGAATGTGAATCACTGAAGCACAACATATTCAAATAAATGACGTAACAATGACTATCCCAATAAAAAGCGATACTCCTTTGAAAGGATATTTGCAAGGCACCACAGGATAAACATGAAGATCTTTTACCTCATCTCCCAAAGAGCAATGGAGCATTGTATTTTGATGAGGACAAGCTCTGAAATACTACAGTACACACAAAATCACGTACAAGAAGCACACTACACTGCCGGCCAAAAGACAGTATACACCCATGTTTGATGGTGTCTGGAAATGAAACAAAGAAATGGTTATTCGATGGTGATTTATTTTAACCGGGTATCATAGGCGATACTGTATGCATCATATCAACGAGTATCCCACAACAGGCGACTGTTTTCAACTCTATAACGTTTGTAATTATTTTGTCATATCTAATTTTCGAGTGTATAGTTTGTTTTGTCCGGAGAGTTGGGTTTATTTATATATTCAACAACATTACACACTGGTCTCTGTTTGTTCTACTCATCATCTAAAATTATATTAAGATAATAGTTTGAACACAAATGTAATAATAGGTATATAATTTGTCTTCAACACTATGTTACGCTATATGATCAAGTAAACAATAATATGTTTCGTTTATACAACAAAACAAAGTATATTTTTAACAAGTTTAGCTTTTGAAGATGACGATCAATTCCGTATTTGGTTTCTGGAAATCTGACAGCAACACTTAAATTTTCATATTACAATTGTTTGTATATACACCTCGGAACCTTTAAGCCATAGAAGGAAACTTAGTGAGGCAACAACAAACACATTATATATTCGGATATTTCAAGTATTTTCAAGTATAACACGGACAATATTTCTTTATTTTATAGGCCAAACAGTGAGATATTGTCTTTGACACATGGTAATATCTCATAAAAAGGGTGAATGCGAGAAATGTGATGTTTTGATGGGGGCTTTTTCATCCGAAGCCACGGGGAAGCTTTTTTTTATTTCTTTGTATCTTGCACATACCTAAATATTAACTGTTCATGATCAGAAAACCTCCAACAAAATGTTGTTTTCTTTCTAACGATGCAAAGAATTAGAATTTGTATTCGACTATATACAGTACTATTATTAAACTTGCCTTTGCAAATATGAAATTCCCTATTTTGACTTGTACCATATGTTCCCGTGTTTATTGTTCTGGTGAAGAATTGACTTGCATGTGCATGTGTTTGTGACGGTTGACGTTTGGGCAGGATTCGCTCACCTTTTCGCAAACACCTGGTATCATCACTAGTTAATAGTGACTCATAAACACATGTCCTTGATAAGTCGGAATCGTACAAGGAACTCTGCTTCGAGTTTCCTAAAGCGTTTTGTCGCTTTTATTTATTATGATTATAATGATGATGCAGGCTATGTCCTCAGGTTGTAACAACACATGTACAGCTCTTACATTTGCAATCAACAAAGCCGTTGGGGTATTACGTTATCTGTCTGTTTCATCTCGTCAACTGTGTAATTATGCAAACTATGACAGGTGACACCGTGGCAACCAGGAGTATTGATATGTTCACGATACGGCTTGTCCTCATACGTCAAGGTCGGCCTATAACACATAGGAAGTAAACACTCCCACGTTGATACGGGGACGCCATTATTAACACAGGATGTTGGAATATTACATGCCTCAGCGGAAAACAACAAATAAACAACATTACATGCAAACACCTCAGCGTTTAGTAATCTGAAAATGTTTCTGACCCGATGAGAATTGATCTTCAGCAATCCATGCTTGTTGTAAGAGGCGACTATGCTTGTCGTAAAAGGCGACTAACGGGATCGGGTGGACAGGCTCGCTGACATGTTTGATGCACGTCATCGTATCCCAATTGAGAATATAGTTGCTCATGATGTCAATCACTGCATTTTCTGGTCCAGACCCCATTATTTGCAGACTGCCGTCATAAAGCTGGAATATTGCTGAGTGCGGCGGTTTATGTTTCTGTGCCTGCGTGTAAGCGTGCATACATGGCGGCGTGTATGCGTTCATGAGTGCGTGCGTGTATGCGCGCGCGCGTGCGTGCGTGCGTGCGTGTGTGTGTATGTATGTGTCTGTGTGTGTCTGTAAGTGTGTCTGTGTGTAGGGGAGATTTTGTACATAACCAGAATAGTTATTATTTCAGCTTCAGATGTAAAACCTGATAATTTTTATTTAAAGCTTTGAGCCTGATTATTTATAAGAAAAACATCCCAGGCATTATCTTTTTATCTCATAGGTCTGAAACATAATTATTTTTTTTTAGGAAAAACATACTTTATTCGATAAAATCCCTCAGTCCCTTACCCGTATTGCTCTCTCATTGTTGCACCAGTACTATTTACATGTGTTAACTGACACAAGGTGCTTATGTCTCCAACCAACGAGTCTTTATTGCAACATTTAGATAAAGCTGTGGCATAATGTTGTTGAATCCGAATTTAACAGTATACCGAGCCATTATCTCCGTAGGTGCTGATATCGCCTAACAGTTTTACAAACGAAGCAAATGATGCCTATTCACTTGTATCTAAAGCTGTTGCCATACGATGAGTCAGAAACAGATGAGCATATATCCTGAACGTAGATAAACCACAGCGCTTGGCGCAAACGGTTCTGCTGATAATACTTATATAGCGCTCGAAACTGCGTTTTATAACAACAGGGTAAAATATTTATACGTATTATGCATTGAACATGTATGTGGAGCTGGTAAACGGCCAGTGTCATTTTACGGTCCATCCCAGAGTGAGTGAGTGAGTGAGTTGGATATAACGCCGCTTTACTGACTGATAGTATTAACGTTACATCACGTAGTGTCAGCTAGATCCTATCACAAATCAATGGGCGTTATCTGGCATTCAGCAGTTAGTAGCCAGACAGCGGCTATCAGTACAACAGCGGGGACACGGGTGGTCCAATCGTCTAAGGCGCCGCAATTACCTGTGCAGAGTTGCGTCCCTTGGGCACGCCAGAAACCTATGATTGTGGGTTCGAACACATGTTCGCCCCGATTATATTTCTAGGTTTGTCAGCACTATACCCGTGCTCGTGGCTTTCACCAACGTCTGAGACCTGCATCACTTCTGTCTATCCTCCCACATTAAACTGACTCGTCGTAACTGGAATACTTTTCACAGCAGCGTTAAACCTAACTCTCTCACTCACGCTATGCAAAACAAGCCCTTGCAAAGCAATTGTGTGTCATATTAAGGATTGTCCGCGTCACTGCTTGCGTTCGATTTCAAAACCATGGACGACCCAGATGAACAAGTTCCCCTTCGCTGACCAATGTTAGCAATGTTCACCCATATACGTCCTACCTAGGTTGACCTAAGTCGCCCATACCTACTGAATCCATGGGGTGTGGTACTCTGGTCAGCAGCCTCCAAGTGACGCCATCATTACAGTTAATTTGTTTCATTAATTGATTCAATCCTGAATAAAAGCATGAGAATGAATATAATTAACTAGGTATTGACAGTATATATTTATTCTGATATGCGCCAGGAAAATTTAATTTTTGATTGTTGACAGAAATACTTACGAACCAATAATGCAACACTGATGAGAAGTTTTTATTTCTTTTTGGTGTTTTACGCTTCAGCAGAAAATGTACAACGGCAGCTTTGTCTGGCAATGAAACTCTAACCTCTGATAGTTGTGTTATGGCAATACATATGACCGTTATTTCTCCTTCTGGCGGCCATTACTATGTCTAAGGTTGCATTTTATACGTTTTTGGGGGGTACCCAGATTGTATCGGGCGTAAATGGCAAGATAGCAGTGACAATTCCATACATATATGGATCAGTGAAAATCAGTGATGACACCAGGTGTTCGCGAAAAGGATAAGCAGGTCCTTCAGCACGCAGGTACTGTATGTCTATATAACATCTAAGGACACAACAGTCGATACGGGTGCCTGGTTGCACTACACGTCCTTGTAACTCAGTTGACCTCCTGTCGTCTTGTTAAAGATTGTCCGCGTCACCGTGTGTTTGTGTTCCAGGACAGAGCATTACATCATGTGCGGGAAGCCAGGATGGGTGGTGTTCTTCCTGACGCTCCTCACCACCTTGGTCCTCATCATCACCGTGCTGCTGGGGGTGGCGGCACAACCCTCCCACCACTTCAACTGTAAGTAGCAATAGCACCCCCTTAGCATTCCGAGACAGACCAGGTTCTAATTTCATTAGTTTGAGTGAGTGAGTGAGTGAGTGAGTGAGTGAGTGAGTGAGTGAGTGAGTGAGTGAGTGAGTGAGTATGGTTTTACGCCGCATTTAGCAATATTCCAGCAATATCATGGCGGGGGACACCAGAAATGGGCTTCACACATTTTACCCATGTCGGGAATCGAACCCGGGTCTTCGGTGTGACGAGCGAACGCTTTAACCACTAGGCTACCCGACCACCCCTCTTTAGCTTGACGTAAGATGCGATGTACATGTGGATTGGTTGTATAATGAGGCGAGAATGGTTTTGAAGAAATAATGTCGAATTTCGATTTTAGAGGATAAGCTGATGTACAACCAGTTGTCCGGTACGTTTTGACTTGTGGTGGGTGGTCATGGTTTAAGCCCGCTCTGAACGATCACGGCCCTTGGTATAGCATTTGCCACACATCCCTCCCAATGATGCACTAATTTATTGTTTGAAATAATTTAATCACATATGCTTTGTGGGTTTGTCAAGAGAACTTAATGTTCTTATTAAAGCTATATGAAAGCATATGCAGATTGAAGACTTTGAGCACTTTCGTAAAATCAGTTAGGACAGTTTGGTGCTGATAACTCGAGGAATGTGATCAAGGTGAATGGGGATTCGCACCCACGACCACCAGACCCTGGATAAACTTAGGGACGCAACTCTACACAACAACTTTGAGTGCTTAAAACAACATGCACATATGTATATAAAGGAAGGGTAATCTTTTGATGAAACACTCTCACTCACTCGTCGACATAGTATATGCATGAAGCCTGGACCATTGCTGAAATAGGCTTAAAACCTAGTTACTCTGAAACACACAGAATATATTCAACTTACAAACTGAGCAAGCCTGCGCCATAACGTGAAGGTGTATATTATACTACTCAAAAGAAGTTAAAGAACACCCGATGTCATGGCAGTTATTGCAACACACAACCTTCTTAACTTGTTTTAGGTGCTATATGTCCAGAATATCCGAATGTCAGATACAGATAATACATACCCCTAACACAAATACAGACAACCCAAAGAACAAAACAAAAGTCAGTGAGAGTGTTGACAATGTGACCTGACATCGATAATCAGGTCCTTCTTACACCATGGTATTGTATCGATCTCCTCTTAACGTCCCTGGTAACACCTGTACCCTCACGAGACTCCGTCACAGCCGGCGAAGTAGAGAAATACATCATCCATACCATAGGTTAACAGCGAACTAGTGGCGTGTGATCAAAAACCATATTGATGAGAGTTCTAGTTATTTTATTTGAATATTAAACGAAAAGAAATATTGCCATTAGTGTAATAAGCATAACGTTATTATGAAGAGAATACTGTTTTATAAATTATATTTTGTAATGGAGTTATGGAAGGATTTAGTTATCTAAACATATCAAATCGATGTTTCACTCAAGTAACACTTTATAGTGGAACTTCTTTCAGCATGCCTGTTTGACATAACGGCTTTCAGTAAGAGAACGCCCATTTAATATTTTTTAATAAATAATATGTTAAAGAAAAAACTGAAAAACAGTCATTCGTTTTCAAGTTTTATACACACGAACAACATGTAAGATCAAAGAGAACATACATAATATATAAAACGTTTGTCTTAACTTGTCCAAAAAAAGACGTATCTCAGTAATTACATAAAACGTTTCGTTTATCCGACGAAACAAATTCCATTGGGCGTAAAAGGTAATGTGGCGATGACAAATAAATGAATGGATCACTGAAGTGATGACACCAGGTGTTCCGGAAAAAGGAAAGCATGTCCAACCCAAATATCCTCTTCTTTTCTTTTTGATAAAATTATTTTAAAGTAACACGACTAAGCAAATATATAACTCCAACATATTCTTTGTTGCAGTGGCGCCAGGTCTGTTCAATCGAGGGATTGCCAATGTCTCAGACACATATCACCTCGACATGTCGCCAGTAGACGGAACCTTTGCTTTGTGGGGTGTCATCTTTATATGGCAAATATGTTGGGTCATCTACTCCCTTACCGCGTTATGTCGTAAAACAGGAGACGGACGCGTTTACGACAGCCCAATTCTACTTCCGTCCGCGTTCTACGTCTCCTTCATCGTAAGCCTATGTCTGACGATGGGATGGTTGTTCCTCTGGGATCGCCTGTTCCTCTCTCTTTCCCTGGTCGTGATGTTATTCGTCTCAACATTCCTTTACATATCACTAGCTCTCTCCTACAACGCCTTGGAACGCCATATGCCACTTCTTTATGTTCAAGAAAGGAAAATCGACATCTGGTGTATCCGAATCCTGGTTCAAAATGGTATCGCCTTGTACGCCACGTGGACCACCATCGAATCCTTGCTTATTCTGGCAGTCGTTATGACGTATACATCTGTACCGGTAGTAGCGGAGGAGACGTCATCGACGGTCAGTCTGTCAATCCTTGCCGCATTTATGCTGGTTTATGCTCTGACTGATTTTTTTGCTTTCGACAGATTCAGCCGATTCACTGTTACACCATACGTGGTGTTAATTGTCGCCTTCAGTGGTATGTTCGCTAACAATGCTGACACGTACAAAATGAACTCTATCTTCATCGTGGCTCTCTTGGCAACATCGGCTGTGGTCGCCCTCACCAAGATCTTCTTCATCTGTCTCAGACAGATAACCAAACAGTCGGATTCCGCCGAAACCACTGAGTTCCTCAGGGAACTGGACGAATCAAGACATCTTTTGAAATAAAAGAGCGAAAAACAACATGGGAAAATCCCCGATAATGAATGAGTGAGTTGATTTCAACGCCGTTTTCTTACAGTATTCCAGTTACATCACGGCGTGTCATCTTAATGTGGAAGGAAAGCCCGAAGTGATACAGGTCTCAGACATTTACCACTTTGGTGAAATCCACGAGCACGGGTATAGTGCTGTCAAACGTAGAAACATAATCGGGGGGAACCTGAATTTGAACCCACAATCATAGTGTTTGGGCGAGATCAAGGGACGCAACTCTGCACAGCAAATTGCGGCGCCTTAGACGATTGGATTGCAAGTACCTTTCAACAAACAAGTACCTTATCATCACTATGGACATTCAAGTGTGTTTCTGTACGACAGTTAGCAGGGAGAGCCTTCTAAGCAGATTTAGTCCATGAATAACCAATTATGTTGCGTGCACTTTTAACTAGGTTGTCTCTGGTTATATTCCTAAAGCAATTAGTCATTGAATTCAGAAACATTATGTTTTGTGCTCGGGGAAGGATGACCGACCATTAATAGGAAGGCTAGGGACAGTTGTTAAAGCAGTATTTTATTTTATCTTCTATTTTACCCCCTCTTTTAGGAGGTGTAAAACCTGAGGTAAGAATCGTGTTTCCAGGACATGTCTTAGGCCACTGAATATCAAATGGTTCGTCACTTATTGCCATATGATATTTGTCATAGTGACATCTTGTCCACGGTGCACTAACATTGATGTTCTGGTCAGCTTAGAATATATGAAAGTTGCACCCATGTTTGTTTGATGGTGGCTAAGAATGAAACAAACAAGACATGGTTATTGGATGGTGAGGTATTTGATGCGAAGGTTATAGGCGATATGACATGCATCATGAGCATTACGGAAAAGTCGACTCTTTACAGCCTTGTTTGTTTGTTGTTGAACGCCGCACTCAGCAATATTCCAGCTAAATTACGGCGGTCTGTAAACAATCGAGTCTGGACCAGACAATCCAGCGATTGACATCTTGAGCATCGGGGGTGGTCGGGTAGCCTAGTGGTTGAAGCGTTCGCTCGTCACGCCAAAGAACGGGCTCGATTTCTGACATGGGTACAATGTGTGAAGCCCATTTCTGGTGTTCCCCGGCGTGATATTGCTGGAATATTGCTAAAACGGCGTAAAACCATACTCACTCACTCATGAGCATCGATCTACGCAACTTGGTGACATGCATCAGCCAAGTCAGCGAGCCTGACCACCCGACATCGTTAGTCGCCTCTTGCGGTAAGCATAGTCGCCTTTTACGGCAAGCATGGGTTGCAGAAGACCTCGTCTAACCTGGATGACCCCGGGTCTCACCCTAGTGACGTTTGTAAATTGTTGGTCAAATCCAGTATCCAAGTACTAGTATATACTTATTTTTGCTGCGCGGTTCATGACTGTGCGCATGTGTTCTCGTATAAACACGTGTATGTGCATGTTATACCAACACAGCACCCAAGCCTTAGGAGCAGGCGATGACACCGGTTTATCCACACAAGCAACTATCCAGCACAGCTGTCACGTAAACGGACAAATGAAACAACAGCATGCATGTAAATGAAGTAATCCCACACGGTCGTTTTAACAGATCTGTCACTCCAACAAGACAATATAGATTATTCAAGATAACAGCATGCTGTCCCGACAATATGTAAATCAGCTGGGACCAATCGTTGCCATCTACGGACAGATGTGTTGTATTTAGCGTGTCTGTTCATTGTTCTTAGTTTGAAACCTATGTTACCACTGTACGCATTATTTAAGTGTATACTTCAAATTTACTGTGCCAGTTTTATCTTGGTTGTGGACATGGATCACAATAATATAATTATTATTAGTCATCAGTATCACTTGTTTGGTATATTCAATTAAGATTATGGTCACGCCTTCCAACGATAAACAGAAATGTGTATGTTATTTGTTTATTTTGCACACAAAAATAACAACTAGCAGAAACAGGAGTAGATTTTGCATTCTAAACTGTTCGCTCTGCCGAGACCGAGTCAACAATGTATTTAGAATACGATAATAAGCAAGCCAGCTGTTGTCTACTTTCAAATACTCTGCGTTATACTGTTATACACTGGAATACCAAAGTATTTAATCAGAGACAAACATTCCGACAACTGTAGCATGTACACCTGCTACCAGTACTTGTTGCCATGGAAACGATGCACATGTAATTGTGGATTAGACGCTTCGGAATGAGCGTATCTGTATTCATTTAACGTAATAACACGTACACCGCATGTACATTTTGTATAGCCGTGTCTCTGCAAGTGTAATACGTATTTGTTTTAAGTTGATGTCAATATGTGACTTATATTTACGCATTCTTCAGAACCGTACTAATGTTTATGTAATATTTACAAACCTGTGATTAAAATGTGGGGCTGTAGTGTGTGTCGTTAGATTTATGCCATCACCGTATATTGACATACAATGAAAACGCATAGGCAACTAACTAACTAACTACCGGTTTAAGCAGTAAATATTAACTCGCAAAGAATGATGACAGTGTGACACAATGTTGTTGTGTTTGATTACCTCATGCCTAAAAATACAGAACAACTTAATTAGATTTTTATGACTATTTTGCCAAATATTACCAAAAAATCGACTATGCGTTTTCAAAGTGTTTCAGTATAGCTGTAGTCCTGTATATATTCGTACTATTGTGAAACCGCACTATGGATACACGCACTTATCGCCAAACTGCATATGGCCGTAGAATCAAGACTGTACTCAAGGGAAACCTCATCCCCTCGTCGCCGTAGTGTATTTATTCAGCATTAATTATGTTGTGCTTTATACGAGTACCTAGATGTAATATTTTAACCATATACTTTATGTGGCATGCGTGTACAAATTAAAAGGAAACACTGGATTAAAGAATTACATATATCATGTTCTGTTTTGTTCCTTTTTTTTCAATTCACATTTCCTTTCTTCTGAATCTGGAACTGGGAAAATATTTGTATACCAAGCAGAAAGCACCGAATCTCTGGCGCCCGCTTTCGTTTTGAATGCCATGATGCACCTGTAGCACATGTTTTGAGGTACACTGTGGTACAACCGAGCATTCTACGAGTATTTCAAAGAGTGTCCTACTGACTTGCCTTGGCATGTGTTTATGACAGGGGCCATCTGTGGGGCAGGATAAGCTCACCTTTTCGCGAACAAACGATATCATCACTTTTTAATTGTGATTCATGAACGGATGCATGTTCAATGTGATGACGGGAGTTTTTTTCGCTTTAATTTAATTTTCATTTAGATGTTGAAAAATTGTAAGACAGTAGAATCTCGAATCTTGACTCGGTCTTGTTTGTCGCCCCTTACGACAAGCTCAGTCGTTCTTTACGCCAAGCATGTGTTGCTGAATGTATGATAATATGAATATTACTTCTATTGTAATCTGTTATTGTAGTAGCGGTAGTTGTCGGGGTGGTAAACACAACAAACGGCTACAGGGTGTGAGCTGATGGCTGTTTATTCTCTTAGAAGAGAATGGTGAATAAATACGGCCTGCAACAATGTATAAATAATAATACATACTGCATACAAGACATAGAACATTGACATTGATATAATATACATAATGGCCTTACATCTAAGGGACATTCAAATAGCAAGAAACCAATGTTACTCATGTAGGAAGTAACCTGTACAATGATATATATATTATATCTGCTTATGACTCTGTGATCAGTTTAAACTAAACATAAACCATGTCTACTGTCATAACACTAGACAAGTACAATACTACATGATAATTACAAAGATATACGTCAGCATATATATAGATACATACATTTATACATTCATGAGTAACACATAAACAATACATACCAGACTGGTGAAACCTGTGCCGTGTCACCAAAGCTTCTAAGATAGTGCCAGTTACATCTGCATTGACAAAGTATAAACTAATGCAGATACTATTTACACTATAATTATACACAACACATAAGTAAAATAGGTATTTAAAATAAGGATTGATCAAATTACTTAAATAATGCACTTTCACACATACGCATACATTCTTATACACAATTAACACAATTACCTTAATGTGATATGAGGTAAAGAATTACTACAGTTTATTTATGGTTTAGTTTTATTTAGTTAATGTTCAAGTTAAGATGATAATAGCCTAGGATATATTAGCTATTTATCAATTAAAGAAACTGCTTTATAATACTTTATCATATAAAATAATCATGATCAGAATACACTAACTGTATTCAATACACAACCTGATTAGCAATAAACCAAGCACAACTTATTTCTAACTTTAAGAATTAGAAATACACAAATACATATAAGGTATCACACAAGAAATAAACTATGTACTTAATTCAAATATGAAATAGAATGTGTATAAAACTATAGCTAAAATAGAATTAAAACCTAACTTGTATGTACAAAATATTACTCTGCCACATTATTGTGGCCTGACTTTATGGTCTGTGATTGTAATCTGTTTTTCAGGCCTGTACTTGTGGTCCATGCGTGGTTGTTATGTGTAATTGTAGCCTGTCCTTGTGATATGTGATTGTAATCTGTTATCTGATATTATATGTTAAGGTGCTCAAAGGATTTGATGCTCTTCGCGAGGTAAGGCCTCTTTTGTGACAGTAGACATCCTGATTTTGATCAGATCGTCATCACTTGTCGCCGCCATTTGTTTGAAGCAAATGCAAATGATACGGGAGGTGGAATCTGATTGGTCAATGGGAGGGACATAGAAGGGACATAACTCGTAATAGCGACTGGTGGCTCTACGATCGAGCCGCGAAATTCCAGCCTTGTTCGGAAAGGGTGGAAACGACGTTTTTAGTCATAGCTGGAATATTGACGAGTGCGGCGTTCAACAACAAACAAACAAAACATGGAAGAACGGCCATTGCAACCACAGTTCAGTTCTAACACCGACATCAAGTGTTGTAATCTCCACAAGAACATATTGCGAGGGGCATTGTTTTACTTTCTACATTTAATTGTTTTGATAGATAGGACTTCGTTTGTTTCCAGGTTGCCACCATAAAATTAAAGGTCGAGATGGCGAAAGCGCGAGAAAGAGATTATGCTCCATACAATAGTGTATAATTTCCCATCACATAATACATAATTATTTACAAAATCAAAGTAAATTGTCCCGCAGTACTGGTTGTCTTCAGATATCACCAGTCAAAAAGAGCACTGCTGACGTATGACACAACCATCCCTGTGTAGCTAAATGGTGTTAACAAGTACACACAGTGCAGCAAATTAAACTATTTTCATACAATGCATATACAAAATACATGCCTTTGACGTTGGACAGATCGATCAGGAATTAAGGTTTTATATTTGGATGAAAAATTCAGTTGTGTACAATGGCGTATGTACTATCTCAGGCTCATCCAGCAAAGGCAACGTTCTCTGTACACCAGCAGCACCGCTAATTCTTCTAGTTCGTGTTCATGCAGTTGACAGTGCACTTTTGTTGTCTGTATGGACATTATAAAAATACGTCCTTTTTTAAACCTACGTGTTTTGTATGTGTGTTATAAACGCTGCAATATCCCAGGTGTATGGTGAAAATATTTGAGTGTGGACAAGACATTCTAGTGATTGATATTATGAGCAACGATGACACGCTATTAGGTCACTTGATCTGAGGGTTAAACCGCTTTGAACGGCGCTTCAGATTTTAATATATTATGGCGAAACCACGGGAGGGTTTATGGACGACGGGCTAGTGATCCAAATCAAGGAGATTCGGAGATTTGAACCATTGAACATCGGATCCTGGATGACAAAGAGACGCAAATCTTGGCCATAGGTACTAGCAGGTTGGATATAAACGTATGTCATTCACAGTGAAAGCATGACACACGTGAACAATATAACGATTCAATGTTTAGAAAAAAATGTTTATTGAAATGATATGTGAAATATATACAATAATGATATGACAACGTTAGAGTGGCTGGATACTACCGTCAAACTAAGACGCTTATTTTACCAGCCACGAACATCCACTGTTACAGTGACCTGCCCAAAGTGATGCATGTCCTCGACGCGAACCACTTTGGTGGAACCCACAAGCACTGGTATAGTGCCGACAAAGCTAAAAACATAATCAAGGCGAAACGGGATTCGAACCCATAATGCCTAATGGGATCAACTTTTCACAACGAATTGCTACGCCTTAGACGACTGAGGCACCCGGGTACGACTTTAAAATATGAATCTCGGCGATATCTAAACCACCCATTTAAGGAAATAGACTTCATGACATCTGGTTCTCTCTCTGCCGTCGTAAACAGATGTGAACCTGCAGGCGGGATAGACCACGTTGTTGTGTGTCCAGAATATCCTGTAGCCGAGGTTGTACAAGTCACGGAGGACGTTCAGCCGGGCAATGTACCTGGACCTTTCCTCTTTACCAAATACGTGGAACTCCAACGACAACTGCTTGACTCCTTCGAGGCCGTTGGAGTTGAACGCGTGTCTCAGAGATTCCCATTCAGAGTCTTCGATGTCAATCTTCATGTAGTCGATTACTCCCTGGAAATGTAAGCATGAGTTTATTTACTGCCAATAACTTTATCAATCAGTTAATAAGACGTGAGTGTGGTTTCGTACGGCTTTTAACATTAGCTGAATCACGATAGAGAACACTGGGAGTCTGTCTTGCACATGTGATGAGTGAGTGAACAAGTGAGTAAAGTGTATTATCACAGCGTGTCAATTTGATGCAGGACGAAAGCCTGAAATAATTCAGGTCTTGGACGTTAACACTTTTGTGAAACCCAGGAACACGGATATGGTGCTGACAAACCAAGAAAAAAATCACCAGGTGAATTGAGATTCGATCGCACAATAATAAGCTTCTGACGTGCTGAAGAGCCATACACGACTGGGTTTCTGCATTTTAATACAAATATACTATTAAAAAAAAGAAACGCATTACCCGTATTTGCTGAGAAAATGTTGTATATTCAAACATGAATAACTTGGTAGGAAATGAACTTGAGTACATGACATTTTACATCCGTTTAGGAGAGATCAATGTCTATACAATGATGTCAATAACTTGAGGTAAGGCATTCACAATATTCCTTAAACGTGAATGGAGTATCAATATCTGTTGTGCCCACCACGTGCACGAATAACAGTTCTCAAACGCCTTGTCATGGACTGGATGAGACGCTGGATTACGGCCTGGGGAATCCTCCGCTACTACTCCTGCAGAAATGCAGCTAGTGCCTGGACAGTTTGGGGTTGATGTTGACGCTGACGGAGACGGCGATCAAGTTCATCCCACAGGTGCTCTATTGGGTTAAGATCCGGGGAACGGGACGGCCAGGGGAGCACGTTGACATTGTTAGCAGCGAGAAAGGTCATTGTGACACGTGCCGTTTTGGGCCGGGCGTTGTCCTGCTGGAAAATCTCACGTTGGACGTCACTGACTGGCAGGAGGTGTGGTATCAGGATGGTGTCTCTGTAGCGTACAACCGTCAGGTTTCCCTGGACGTGGACAAGATCGGTACGATCAGTGTAGGATATTTCCGCCCACATCATCACACTCCCTCCACCAAATCTGTCCACTTGACGCACGCAGTTAGGGGCATAACGTTCATGAACATGTCTGTAGACCCGGTTCCTACCATCACGTCTCTGCAATAGGAATCTGGACTCATCGCTAAACCAAATGCGTCGCCAGTTGCGAAGGTTCCAGGCAGTCACGTTGTTACACCAACGGAGACGATGAGCACGATGGTGAGGACGTAGCACGTTCCCGACGTAGGGTCTCCTGGCTCTCAGTCCATGTTCTCTCAGCCTGTTCCGTACAGTCTGGCCTGATGTCCTCCTAAGTCCTGGCACCCTGGCTGCAGTGCTCACACCCGTAGCAGTACGGTCACGCAAATGGAGGACCCGGATGTAGCGATCCTGGGCTGGTGTGGTGACTCTAGGTCTTCCTGTACGGGGACGGTCATTTGTTGTGCCTGTTTCGTTGTAGCGAGCTGCAAGCCGTGATATTGTGCTTTGGCTAACATTCAGACGTCGGGCAACAGAAGATTGGGACTCTCCAGCCTGCAGTCTTCCAATGGCGATGTCTTGTGGCAGCGTCAAGACGTGGCATGTTCATTTGGCTTAGAAACACCTTCTGAACGAATGCCTATTTCCGAAAGCAAGCTTGCTTTTTATTGCCAAACACTGCATGCTTTTCCTGCCCAATTTCAACGTGCAAGATGCCACTTGTTGCATTGTGGCTATGCATTTCTTACTCATTCTCAAAAAATCAAAAACATTTTCAAGCAAAATCGATTTGTTGCAAACGGAAGTGTGTCAATTGATGCTCTTACCAATATTGATACATATTTTGACGATGATATGAATACAATAGGTATTATTTTCGTTTTGACATATCAGTAACACCTATGCGTTTCTTTTTTGGATAGTATATGTCATTTTGATAACATAAACATGTGTATTTCGCCAAAGTCCGTGGCATTTTATATTATTTTATACACACACACACACACACACACACACACATATATATATATATATATTTATATATATATATATATATATATATATATATATATATATATATATATATATATATATATATATGGTAAACTGTTTGATTTGTGCATATGCTCCGATTATTTGTGTGTCACTTCGGACTTTTTCTCCCACATTTATCAGACACGTGCGTGTGTAATACCTCTCAAGTGGTTCAGGGTCAGCATTGGTAGCTTGCAATGTATTTTGGTCATAAGAGGGGACTTAATGGATCGGGGTGTCAGGCTCGGTGACTAGGTTCATTACGTGTCATCGTACCCCGACAGTGTGGATAGCTGCTCTCAATATCAATCACTGGATTTTCTGACCCAGATTCACATGCCACTGTCTTTTAGCACAAATATGACTGAGTGCTGTGTTAAACAAACAAAACAAACCAAAGAAAACGACCCGTGAAGATTCCGGGGTAGAATAGGTCTTCAGCAACCCATGCTTGCTGTAAAAGGTGACTATGCTTGTCGTAAAAGGCGACTAATTGGATCGGGTGGTCAGGGTCGCTGACTTGGTTGATGCATGTCATCGATCCCAATTGCGTGGGTCGATGTTCATGATAATAATCACTGGATTGTCTGGTCCAGACTCGATTATTTACAGACCGCCGTCATATAGCTGGAATATTGCTGAGTGCGGAGTTAAACAACAAACCAACCAACCAACCAAAGAAAACCCGTATAATTCTTACATCAGCATGTTTGAGATCTAGTCTGATGGAGACCATCGTCTTCATTGGCCACTGCATCTTCCCTTTACCATCACGGTCCGACAAACCAAGGTTGTGGAAGTGGACACGCCTGCCTCTCAGATGGTCTTGTTGCTTCATGCTATATCACAAAAGAAACATGTTGATTACTTGTTGTAATATTGTAATATTGGCATCCTGGTCCTTACACATTAAATATATTGTATGCATTACTGAATTTAAGAGAAGGAATTTATTACAGCAATATATCACTCCGTGTGTGAGAGGAGCCTGTCGTGTCTGGTTCGAACCTGGAGCAGGTGAACCACACACACTACAGCTTGTGTAGCAATAGATGACGCTTCACTGTACCTAAGCCCTCCGATATATATACAAAAACATGCGAGTGTGAGTATGAATTTACGCCGCCTTCAGCAATGTTACGGTGGGGGACACTGAATTGGGCTTCACACATTGTACATATGTGGGGAATCGAACCCGGGTTTTCGGCGTAACGAGCGAACGCTTTAACCACTAGGTTATCCCAACTCCCCTATCTATAAACATCACATCTAGAGCTATCATTACTTGTAGATATACATCCCTGAACAAACACACCAACAGTAGTGTGTATGTCTCAGAGTGTTGTGTATCTCGCGTTACCAAACCCTGAACAGAGGTGAAAATGTTACAGTTTTCTGTGATGGGAGTCGGGCACTTACCTTGGATCAAAAGCGTGCACTTCACAACCGAAGGTGCTAGCGACGTCGTCGTCAAAGCTGAAGTCGTTGTCAATGCTGAAATATTTAATTTAAAAAGAAATATATATAACAATACAGTTTTGTCCAAATATACTTGATGCTCAATCCTTACGATTTTCGGTCACTGGTAGTCAATGTGAAGTTTGTTACTGATGAAAATGTATTGGTATTTTATCAGAATTACAAAATACGTGTGTAGTACTGACCCGAATGAGTAGACGATGCAGTTGTCTTTCTTTGGCTTATAATGTCCATCCAGACAGACGTCCCAGCCGCCGGCTTGAATGTTGCCCATCCTAATCTTGTCTCGGCACAACACTTGGATGTTGGTCAGAAAACTGAAATACAGCACAACACGTGAATATTGTTTAGTTAACTGAAATGCACCACAGCACTGAAATACGACACAACACATGGAGGTTGGTTAGAAAACTGAAATACGGCATAACACGTTGGTACTGGTTAGACAACTGAAATACAGCACAACACGTGAATATTGTTTAGGTAACTGAAATGCGTCACAGCACTGAAATACGACACAACACGTGCACGTTGGTTAGAAAACTGAAATACGACACAACACTTGGATGTTGGTCAGAAAACTGAAATACGACACAACACGTGAATATTGTTTAAGTAACTGAAATGCGTCACAGCACTGATATACGACACAACACGTGCACGTTGGTTAGATAACTGAAATACGACGCAACATGTGGAGATTGGTTAGAAAACTGGAATACGACACAACTCGTGGAGGTTGGTTAGACAACTGTAATACGGCACAACACGTGGGTACTGGTTAGACAACTGAAATACAGCACAACACGTGAATATTGTTCAGTTAACTTAAATACAATAACAAGAGCACCTTGGTTAGAAAACTGAAATACGGCAAAACACGTGCATATTGTTAAATTAGTTATAACACAAAATACATACTCGTTATAAAGAGTTGCCAGTTGTTTGTTGGTCATGACCTGGAGCTTGTCGTCCATGGGGATGGGATGGGCGGCCTCAGCGTCATCCGTCACCACTGGTGACCCGACGGACGGCTTCTTCGTTGTCACAACCTGACAACAGAAATGAAACAGTCATTGTAAGATCATGATCAACTCGTTCAAAATGTACATTCCACAAACACTGTACACATATTCCAAAAGAAGAAGAAGCGAAAATGGGTCAAGAGGTTTCCATGCCAAACAGAAACAACAACATTATTGGAAAAATGTTATGTCACAAAAAACTATCCACAAGACTGTATGACAAGTGGGGTGACTTCAATTTGCCAATCGTCAACTTTCCCTTTATATATATGTCGACACTATTCCAACTTCTCCAGCCTTTGGTGTCTACATTTCATAACCTTTGTGGTACAACCGAGCATGCACTTTCTACGATTTCAGCGATGTTTAAGGGTTACATGAAATTTGTGGAACCCAGGCGAGAAACCCTGCACGTTTCCTGTTTCATTCCTTCTCGGCCTTCGGTCTCAGAGGGTAGTTTGCACATTGAATACACATGAGTTTCGCTAAATATCCTGTGCATGACGATACACGTGAGCAGAAGGGGAATTCCCTCGACTGCAATATTGGGATTCCCCGACATTCCGTAATAGTCCGCTTCAGTGGGCGTGGCTTAATTTTTACATTCATTTGGAAATGAATGAAATAGCACGCGACCAATCAGAATACAGGAATTACAACGAAACTTTCTTAATTTGGTAGTGAGTCAAGACACATGCTCATGATATTGTCGGAATCAAACAATGGATTCTGTTTTTAGCAGAATTTTTATGATTATATTTTGTCGTTCTTATTCACTCACCTGAGCATTGGACTTGAGTCCACTCCTGACTTGTAGATCCAGAACCATTGGCTGCTGCGGTGTGGTCCTGGTTGCAATATATAGCAGTACTGCGGATACTGTGAAGGCAGCAAGTATGGAATAATAGTGCGTCATATTCATCCTTATACCTGCAAAACGCTCATGCATCGGGAGACGAACGTTTCAGGTGAGCTCTATCCAGAGGCCAAGAGCTGTAAAAGAAAGTGTGAAATGGTTCGTTAAAGCTCTGCAGTTCTGCATGCGACGGATCCCTGAACCATAACCAAGTCAGATCTCGTGGTGAAGGATATGGCCCCGCACACCACGACACTACCGCCACCGAATTGTCGAAATTCACGTACACAATGTGGGGCAGAACACTCATTTCGACTATGATAAACACGTTGGCTTCCATATCGCCGGTGAGGAAGAAATCACACTCGCAAGCGTCGCTGTCGTTGGATTTGTTGCAAAACAGGGACGATAACTGGGTCGGATTCCAGCCTCGCGAAGATGGTTCCTAACAGTCTCGGCATTTTCGAACTTGAAAAATGTTGACAATTGAATGACAAATTATTGGTTTATGCTTGCCTTTTTATAGCCACTACCGGGAGGTAAGAATGACATAACTTGCCCGTGCATTTTGCTTTACTGCTTTTTAACAAATGTGAAAACGATGCCGTTTAAGACATTGCAAATCGACTGCGTTTTGAAGCACCGTTTGTCGAATATCAGGCCACCAACATTTTCCAATTATTATAACATATATCCAATTTATATACCGGATTTTTTTGTGTAATCAGGTTCAATGAACTACATACTACCTGTTCGTTTTTTTTTTTTTGAAGAGTGTACACACAGACAGACAGTCAGACAGACAGACACGGTGGGTCAACTCACAAGAAGGTAGCTCACTTGAATTCTTAAAAAGACTTCGTGTATGTTATGGCCTTGTTCTGTTGATCGGGACTGGACACTCACCTTAACTGACTTTTGTGTTGTGACCAGCGTTTTTATATGGTCATCGGGTATAATAGCGTCCCATAAGCGTACATGGCCCCGGGGGGCGCGGCCGAGCACACATCAGGTAAACCCCACAGGCATTAGACGTTGATAAGGTGTCGCAATTACAGATTAAGAATCGAAGATGCTGAGATATCGAATAGATTGGTTATCACCGCAACTGATAGCAATCGCTTATTCACGATTAGGATAGAGTTGTCATGAGTTGAACCCTCTTGGAACAGATCTGTTTTTTATGCCATATGAAGTGGGTTTTTTTTACCTTTGTACAATGTATTTCACATAACGTCTGTGACTATGGGTATAAGGCAGCACTGCCGATCGGATCGAAGATCTATGTCAATGAGTATTTTATAGTCACTCATTCTTATAAAAGCAGTTTACTTTATCCAAAATACAGTTCATACTACTTCAGGCACTTAAGTCGCTTTGGGATTCAGTAGATATTCTGTACAGCTATTTACTAAACTGTTCATCCATCGTAGATATCATTCATTAGAAATAAAAAGTATATGATCTGTTTTTGTTCGGATAGGATTTCTTCTATTAATTAAGATTTAAATCACAAAGAGGGCACTTTTATGGAAGACGTCCTGAGGAATTTACTAAATACGTCTTTTGTTCAACTTTATGCACAATGCCTTCCCATTCTTTGAACTTCACATGGTGTTTCCACGCCTCCTTTTATCACTGGCTCCTACGTTAATGGATTGGGTTGTCAGACGCAGTGACCCGATTCATACATCGGGTGAAGACGTACCCCGACTGCGTGGATGGTTCTTATTATCGCAATCACTGGATTGTCTGGTCAAGACTCGATTGTTTGCAGGCCCCGTCATATGGCAGGACAACTGCTGTGCGGCATCAGGCAACAAACACTACTATAATAATAATAATAATAATAATAATAATACTTCCGCCCTATTACTTGTCTGAATACACAATACAAAATATTTACAGGGTGTCTTACAGATATTGTGTTATCATACTGCGCAACCAATGATATTATGTACATGGAGCAGAAAGGAGCCAGAAAGGGATGTTGGGGTTGTTGGGATCAACTACTAGTTCAGAAAATGACACTTGAAGAGGCTAAAACTTACCACCGCAGCCTCTCAATGTGTTGGATAGACTACAGAAAAGCTTATGATTCTGTACCTCACGAATGGATTTTGAGGTCACTGGAATGTATTGACCTCCCCGAGCGGCTACTTGTTTTACTTAAGTCTTTAATGAATTGCTGGTCAACTCAACTTGAGATGTATTCGCAGGGGCAGGTGGTGACTTCGGAACCCCTTTCTATTAGAAGAGGAATATTTCAGGGCGATTCTTTCAGTCCTTTGCTTTTCTGTTTGTCACAGCAAAGAGGAAGGTTATTATCACCCGGCGCCTCCTTAGCACAGATCTCCAACACCCCTTACTCACCTCCTTTACATGGATGGCCTTGAACTTATTGCCAATGGAGGATCTACACTCAAAAATCAGATTCTGCTTGTCGAGTCCCTTTCTAATGATATCGGCATGTCCTTTGGACTCGACAAATGCAACATTTCTCATTTGAAACGTGGCAAGGTAGAAGAGGGAAGATCAGTCATTTTACTTCGGGGAGGAGTTATTGACCATCTCGTGGAAGGTCAGGCCTATACCTAGGGATGTAGATTAGGGACAAACTCCAGAATGCCCATAACAAGGACAAACTTCGGGCAGAGTACAATGTAGACTTACGAAAAATCTGGTGTTCAGAGCTGAACGCTCGCAACAAAGTCGAAGGCACAAATACTTATGCTGTCCCCGTCCTTTCGTATTCTTTTGGTGTTATTGATTGGACGAAATAAGAAATTCAGGGTACTGACACCCTCACACGGAGAATCATGTCAGACTATAAATATCACCACCCTTGCTCTTCCCTCAGTTGCTTATAGTTACCAATTATGATGGGAGGGCGTGGATTGATTAATGTGGAGGCTCTTCATGATAGTTTTGTGCACTTTTGCACACATTTATTTGTCTGATGATTGTGAAGCATGTCAAGACTCATGATGAAAACAAGGCATTCCACAGTTTTCTAAAACGAGCCAAGAATGTGGGACATAATCTCAATGTCAGTGTTGATTATGTTGATGGCACTGTACTGCTGGACGGTACTGAAATAAGAGTCAACCATGCGAAGTGCCATATCAAATCGGCCCAGTTTTTTTTCAAGAAGAGGCTATCTGGACGGCAATTGCAGTGTGTTGAGAAGATCAGCAACCCTGCAGAGTCCTTCGCTTAAATGAAGTTGGCTGGCCTGAAAAGTGAAACAGAAGGTTTTCTGTTTGATGATCAGGACCAGTCACTTCCCACTCGAACTCGATTTTGTATCAAAATGTAAATATGAAATGTAGATTATGCAATGAATTTAACGAGATCGGGATCGGGAGGTCAGGCTCGCTGACTTGATTGATGCATGTCATTGTATCCCAACTGCGTAGATCGATGCTCATGATGTCAATTACTGGATTGTCTGATCCAGACTCGTTTATTTACACACCGCCGTCGTGTAGCTGGAATATTGCCGAGTGCGGCGTTAAACAACAAACACACAAAACATGGTAGAAATGCCATTGCAAGCACAGTTCAGTTCTAACACCGACATCAAGTGATGTAATCTTCACAATAACATATTGCGAGGGGCAATGTCTCACTTTCTACATTCAATTGTTTCGAAAGATAGGACTTCGTTTGTTTCCAAGTCGCTACCATAGCAGGAACATTACGGAGTGCAGCGTTAAAATCAAAAAGGTCGGGATGGTGAAAACGCGAGAAAGAGATTATGCCTCAAACAATAGTATATAGTACATCCCATCACATAAAACATAATTATTTACAAAATCAAAGCACATATACCCGCAGTACTGGTTGTCGTCAGATATCACCATTTAAAAAGAGTACCGCTGACGTATGACACACCCATCCCTGTGTTTCGAAATGGTCTGTACAAGTACACACAGTACAGCAAGTTAAGCATTTTTATACAATGCATATACAAAAGCAAAATACATGCCTTTGACGTTGGACAGATCGATCAGGAATTAAGGTTTCATATTTGGATGAAAAATTCAGTTGTGTACAATGGCGTATGTACTATCTCAGGCTGCAACCAGCAAAGGCAACGTTCTCTGTACACCAGTAGCACCGCTAATTTATCTCGTTCGGGCACAAGCAGTTGACAGTGCACTTTTTTTTGTCTGAATGGACATTATAAAAATACGTCCTTTTTTAAACCTACGTGTTTTGTATGTGTGTTATAAACGCTGCTATATCCCAGCTGTGTGGTGAAAATATTTGAGTGTGATGACATGAACTTGATCTGAGGGTTAAACCGTTTTGAACGGTGTTTCAGATTTTAATATAATATGGCGAAACCACGGGAGGGTTTATTGACGACAGGCTAGTGATCCAAATCAAAGAGAATCGGAGATTTAAACCAATGAACATCGGATCCTGGATGGCAAAGGGGCGCAAATCTTGGCCATCTGTGCCATCAGGTTGGATATAAACGTATGTCATTCACAGTGAAATCATGACACATGTATACAATATAACGATTCAATGTTTATAAAAAAATGTTTATTGAGATGATATGTGAAATATATACAATAATGATATGACAACGTTAGAGTGGCTGGATACTACCGTCAAACTAAAACGCTTACTTTACAAGCCATGAACATCCACAGTTACAGTGATCGCCTGAAGTGATGCAGGTCCTAGACGCGAACCATTTTGGTGGAACCCACAAGCACGGGTATAGCACCGACAAACCTAAAAACATGCTTAAGGCGAAACGGGATTCGAACCCATAATGCCTAATGGAATGCACAACGAATTGCTAGGCCGTAGACGACTGGACCACCCATATCCAACTTTAAAAATATGAATCTCGGCGATATCTAAACCACCCATTTAAGGAAATAGACTTCATGACATCTGGTTCTCTCTCTGCCGTCGTAAACAGATGTGAACCTGCAGGCGGGATAGACCACGTTGTTGTGTGTCCAGAATATCCTGTAGCCGAGGTTGTACAAGTCACGGAGGACGTTCAGCCGGGCAATGTACCTGGACCTTTCCTCTTTACCAAATACGTGGAACTCCAACGACAACTGCTTGACTCCTTCGAGGCCGTTGGTGTTGAACGCGTGTCTCAGAGATTCCCATTCAGAGTCTTCGATGTCAATCTTCATGTAGTCGATTACTCCCTGGAAATGTAAGTATGAATTTATTTACTGTTGAATACTTTATCAATCAGTTAATAAGACGTGAGTGCGGTTTCGTACCGCTTTTAACATTAGCTGAATCACGATAGAGTACACTGGGAGTCTGTCTTGCACATGTGATGAGTGAGTGAACGAGAGAGTATTTTTTCTTATATCACAGCGTGTCAATTTGATGCAGGACGAAAGCCTGAAATAATGCAGGTCTTGAACGTTAACCAAACATGTTTGTGAAACCCACGAACACGGATATGGTACTGACAAACCAAGAAAACTCTCCAGGGCGAATCGAGATTCGATCGCACAATAATAAGCTTCTGGCGTGCTGTAGAGAACTCTGAGGGAAAGCCATACACGACTGGGTTTCTATATTTTAATACAAATAAGTCATTTTGAAAAAAAAAAAAATGTATTTCGCCAAAGCCTAAATGTGGCATTATATATATATATGGTAGACTGTTTGATTTGTGTATATGCTCTGATTATTTGTGTCACTTCGGGCTTTTCTCCCACATTTATCAGACACGTGCGTGTGTAATACCTCTCTGGTGGGTCAGGGTCAGCATTGGGAGCTTGCAATGTATTTTGGTCATAAGAGGAAACTTAATGGATCGGGGTGTCAGGCTCGGTGACTAGGTTCATTACGTGTCATCGTACCCCGACAGTGTGGATAGCTGCTCTCAATATCAATC